CATGGTAAGAGGGGCACCAGTGGCGGCCTCGGTACAAACAGCTTACCACTCGTATCCAGGGAACGTATTGGTGATGCAAAGGTCCTGAAGAGAGCTGACACCAACTAGGTTCCTGGAGAACGAGAGGATGTGCAAGCCTGTAAGTGAGCCCGAGGGGACCTCTGGACAGGGAAGGGTAGTGGAGCTATGTGTGACTACCAGACCTGAGGAGGGGTCAGCGAGCGCAACAACGGCAGGTGCAGCAAGCGGCGCGAGCAAATTGTGCTCGCGTAAAAAGCAGGCCGATGCTCCAGAGTCGAGCGTGAAAGAGAGCGAAGCAGTAGTGTCTGCTGTAGCGGCAGCTGGAGCTAGCGTAGAGCCTAAGCTAAACCAGGCAGGAGGTCCTACGCTTGACGCAGCAGGGGAACCTAGACTACACCCGGGAGGCACACCTACTCTACACAAGAGTCATGAGCATATATAACATACATAGCAATCCTAATCTAATCCATGTCAAGCTCAAAGACGGGCACACGGCGGCAGGCCATGGCTTATCAGTCAAGAGGGTCCAAGGTGGGACCAAAGCAGAGATGGTAGAGGTCTTCGATGCGACGGTAGCAGCGGGTGGCAGTGTGACGCCCCCACATCCACCACCCCCAGCACCCCCACCACCCTTCCCTCCGCCACGCCCCCCCTTGGGGCGGCGGCCCCTATCCTGATGCTGCTGCAGCGGTCTTAGCAGCACGGGCTGTCTTAGCAATAGCAGCAGAAACGTCAAAGTGCATTGGGAGGGAGCACAACCCTGGAAGATAGGGACCGGCGCAACACCGCTAGACTGAGCGATAGCGTGCTCGCGGGTCTCTATGGCGGACAGGGCGGTGACAAAGGCATGGAGGGTGAGGTCACATGGGTGCTAACTAAGGAAGTGGTCGCAGGAAGTGGCTAGGTGGTCAGGCAGGCACGTGGCAATGAAGTATAGGGTAGCGTAGAGCGGAGGCGGGAAGGCACTGAGCTGTGCCTTAGTGCTAGCGGTGCGGTAGCTAGCCTCCAGTGCGCGGAGGTGCGTGCCAAGATCAGCGACAGTGGGGAATGACGGAAGGTCAGGGAACAACATGGGGAGGATTAGGCAGCTGGCAAAGGTTGAGGCAGGGGTGGAATAGCACGCGATGACGGCATCTAAGTAGTCCTTGGCGTTCGCTACAGTGGTAAAGCCGGGACGCTGGGCAGGGGGAGGGCGTGGCTAATGGCAAGCTGAGCAACAGCGTTGCGCGAGTCCCAGACAGCACAGGCAAGCTGGGGAGCGACAAAAGCCTCACGCTCGGCAGACGTGGGGGCGTCAGGGAGGGCAGCAGGCTGGCCGGGGCATGGGAGCTTGCCATCGACGTGGACGACCAGGGAATGGCCGTCCTGGCGCTGCCCAGTCAGCTGGCGGCGGAGGTCGACGAGCCACGCCTCAAACTCAACGGCCCGACCCTCCGCATCGAGGCGAAGCACATCGTCCGTCATCGCCACAGCTGCAGTAGCTGATAGCCGCTAGAGGCAAAGGAGAGTGGTGGGGAGCGGTGGAGAGCGGTGGAGAACGGTGGTGTGTAGTGAAGAGCAGTGGAGTGCGGTGGAGTGCGGTGCTGAGTGGTGGTGGAGAGCGATGGAGACTCTCGGTGGGAGCGCCGGCTCAGAGGGGAGCCAAGGCCAGCAAGTGGGGGCGGCAGAGCGGCTCGTCGACACGGCGTCACGGCGGCACTGCGCAAGGCTGCCCGGCGACGTGGCAGCTTGGCGACACGGCGTCAAGGCGGCACTATGGCTCGAAGGCGCTGCGGCGCGGCAGCTCGGCGGCACGACGGCTGGCGGGCGTGGGGCTGGCGAGCGAGGGGCCGACGAAGGCGGGGCCAGCAGGCGTGGGGCTGGCAAGCGCGGAGCCAACAAGAGCGGTGCTGGCGGGCGCAGGGCTAGCGAGCGAGGGCCAGCGAGCGCGGGGCCAGTGCGCGTGGGGCTAGTGGGCGCGGGGCCAGTGAGCGAGGGGCTGGCGAGCGCGGAGCTGGCGACAGGAGGGCCGACGAGTGACGGGCCAGTAGGCGCACAGCTGGCGCGCGCGAGGCCAGCGAGCTACAGGCCAGCGAGCGACGGGGCTGGCGAGCGCGGGGCCAGCGAGCGACGGGGCTCGCAGGCGCGGGGCTGGCGAGCGCGGGGCCAGTGAGCGACGGGGCCGCCAGGCGCGAAGCTGGTGAGCGTGAGGCCAGCGAGCAACGGGGCTGGCGACAGGTGGCTGGCGCGTACGAGTGGCCAGCAGCTATAGGCGGCTGGCGGCTAGTGGCCAGCAGCGGTGAGCGGCACGTGGCTAGCAGAGGTGGCTAGCGACGGGCGGCTAGGAGCGGGCAGGCTAGCGACGGGCGGCTATCGACTAGCGGCTAGGAACGAGTGGCTAGAAATGGGCGGCTAGGACTAGGACTAGGGCGGAAGCGCGGGTGGGCGGGGAGGATCTAACCTAGCGCGTGATACCATTTCAGAGTAATGAATTGAGTATGATTAGGGGATACAAGTGGATACAACCTAAGGTGTTGTACTCTCTATGAGCATGCACCTATCGATCCTATAACATATACAATTATATTTTGACAGACAGAGCCGTCCAAGATTCTCGCTCATCGCGTACGAGGACATCGAGATATAGCAACCGTTGATTTCCTCGTTCAATGGGTCGATCGCACGAGTGGCAACGACATCTGGGTTCCTGCAGCTACGCTCGGCGAACACAAAGTTGTTCGGGACTATTTACACCGATGACGTGTCCCGAATGTGGGGAGTCTCGTCCCGGAAGGGGGGGTGGTGTAAGGAAATTCCTTTTCCTTACTGGGCTCGACTACATCGAGTACGTCATCGACTCTCGGAAGTCCAGGCTCGGCCAACTTCTTTAGTCCCGAACCACTTTGCGAACCCAAACCTAGACGCGTGGCGCTTCCGTAGATTTTGCCAACCGAACCACCCCAACCTGTTCGTGTGGTTCTCGGCTAGCCCTGTTCGTGCCTATAAATGCCTAGGCCCTCATTTGTATAGACACGCTCTATTACACTACTTGTTATTACTCCGATTAATTCATAACAGCTACAACAGCAGTGCCCAACATTGCCATGTTGTAGATTGTGGGGATGTTACTACTCTTAGCGGGGAGCTTCTTAGCGAGGGCTTCGGCCTCCGTGTTGCTGGGGAGCAGGATGATGGCGTCCGCGAGGGCTGAGAAGTCGTACTTGGAGTTCAACGCGAGGCCGATGTACTTGTTGATGTCCTTCGCGTATTTCGCATACTGCGGGTAACGCTTCGTGATGTTAGTCGCCATGTTGTTCAGCTCCGCCTTGAGCTGCGCCTTGGTGGGCTTCGGCTTCGCTTGTGCGTTTGCTCCAGCTATGCAAAGAGTGATGCAGATTAATCCGAGGACGAGTAGGGCTCGTGAACTCGCCATTACAAGAGAAGTAAGGAATCGACGCTGCAAGCTGTTATACTTCAGAGAATTTGGGAAATTGCGGGGCAAGTAATCGTCAGGGCTGGGAAGTTCGCAGGGAGTTGATGAGCGACGAATGAGTAGCAAACAAAGGATTTGGGAGGGAAATGGTTGTGATGAGTTAATGATTTGGTGGAGGGGAGTTTATAGCAGTGCGACAGGAGGGGTGTGACGAAAATTGTGACCGAAGTCTTCGCGAGTGTACTACGTGGTTGAGAAACCAGGAGTGGGTATGGTGTGGCGATATTTCTTTCGGTGGAGTTGAAGGTGTCGGAGATAGGGTAACAGCGGGGACGATAGATTTGGAGCCGACAAAATGGCGGAGCACCAGAGGTGACGAAGATCTCGCGAAGGCGAGGATCTTCACCCGAATGGCGGCAGTTGTCGGCGGTCGCGACGCGAGCGAAAGTCGCAGCGAAGCTGTGTCACTAAAATCGCTCAAGAAGTCTCAGCCCGTTTGTACTCAATTGAAGCAAGCCCTTTACAAGGTTTCGCCCCAAAACGGCAATACAGTGTCGTTCACCAAGGGACCAAACGCTCCTGCTGCCACGTGGACGACGATCAAGATCGTGAGGTTGTATGCCGGCCCTTACTTCATCGCGCACGGCGTGGATAAAGTGCTCATTCCCAATGGGACCAAAATGCCGAAGTAGAGTACACTGAAGGGCGAGTACAGAGCACCCTTACATTATCACATAGCCATGACTTTTGAACAAAAGGGATCTTCGAGTCAATGCTATACAAATGAAGTCCTGTACATTTCCTAAGATGATTTCGTCTTAGATTTAGCTTGTGACTCCATTTAGCTTGGGGTACCCTGCCGTTGTTCCTTCTCTTCCCTGCCCAACTCATGCATCCCTATAAGGTTCACGGCTTTCAAGGATGGCTGCAAAACACTTGTCCTAAACACTGATTCTACCACAAAAAAAGTACAGATGTACAGCACAACCACTTATATGAGACCATGGAATGGAGACGATGCATGGTTAGCCTAGAAGCTGTGAATAGGCGGCAAACGTATGGATAGCCAAGAGCTCTGAGTAGGGGGGCATGAGCCGATGTGTTAACTCGAGGAGAACAACAAACCCTTAGGTTCGACAATTTTTGAAGCCCCAAGCTAAAATAGCTAACCCACTTTCAAGTTGAGGCCAGCTTAAAGCCCGTGGCTATAATAGCAATCAAGAGGGCTGTTTAATTTGCTCTTGAACTTGGCACGACTTGATCTTCAGAGTAAACGAAACAGAAACAAAACATTTCGTTTTGCAAAGCGGAATCTGACCGTGGCGGTTTGGCGACAGTTTTTGCACGAAACCATTCGGTGAACAGTGCAATCCGCGTCGTGCGACCGAATTCGTGGTTCCGTGAACTGTGAAAATGCGAGAAGAACATAGTATTTTTGGCGAACAGTAGCTGATTCTGGAATTGCAGACCTGGAAATCACTTGAATTCCCCAGTCATAAAGCGCCTGTATTCCACGTCGCAAGCTGCTCGCCCAAACCCGTCGTAGAAACTCCGTGCAATGCACACAGTGTTTTTGCGCAATTCGCATCCAAATGATCGTGTCGCAACAAACAGCAAAACGAGTTCTTTCGCCATTCCTCCAATCAGCAAGCTCGACCAGAATTTGTTTCGACGCAGTTTTCTTGTTCAGGCTTGAACTCAAAGCTGCCTTCCATTCTCTGCTTAGACGGATTTCAAAGCACCAAATTCAAGTGGTCTCCAGGTCTGCTATTTTAGCTGCGGGCTTTAAGTAGAAAAAAAAACTTCGAATATTCACACCACAAGTTACAACACACCGCAAGGGACTCCTATTCTACTCCAGGGATTTGAGCATGCGGAAGAGGGCTGCTGCTTCCCTGACTCGCGAGTACTCGATACAGAACGCCTGCATTTCAATGAAAAGCGCCTCCACTGCCTCGTGGGGAAGGACGGAGGGGGAAGAGGGGCAGAACCGGGAAGAGACGGGGAGGGCGGTGGGGGGGGGGGGAGGGGGGAAGGGGGGGGAGAGAGATTGTTGAAGCAAACATGCAAAGGAGGACGATTCAGCGTATGCAACAACAAGATGTTGCCATGCCAGCAAAAAGGGAGAGTCTATGGCGTTTGTATCACATTTTGGCGTTGCCATAGAAAGCAAATTAAGATTCTAAGTGTACCATTGATTATGTTATCGCGGATAAGACTGAGTAGGAAGATGCACACGATCCGCACAAGACGATTTTGCATGCTTTTGTCCTGCACAAGTGGTTTGGGTTTAGGGGCATAACGAATGCGTGCACCTGCCCTGGTCAGCACAAAAGTCGCTAAAATCAGGACATGAAATCGAAGTGTTAGAACTGAAAACAGGATTACAAATTACAACCAACCAACAGACAGTCTCAGAGTGAGTCAGCCTAAGCACACAACTTCAGTATAGTGGGTAGATATTGCAAACCTGCTTCGTGACGTTTCAGCGATGTGTCAAACCCTGCCTTTTTTTTCTTCACAGAACCGCGGTGACACCGTGGTGACTTTTGATTCGAATCAAGAGTCACCGCGTGCAGTGGCTGACGGAGGGGTCGATAAAGCGGATAGCCGCCGTCTCTACAAACCTTCACTTCCACACACTCTCTCTGGTCCCGACGCAGTAAAATATTCTCATTTAAGTCACTCACCCACCTTGGTTTCCTCACAGAACAGCACGCAGTGGCTGGAGCCTGGCATGGGAGTGGATAGAACAGGGCCAGCTGGCAACACAAACCTTCAAGCAATGCCTTCATTCAAAAACCCGATGTGTGGCTTCTGACGGCTCAAAAACTGCAGCTACACACCTTGGTTTCCTCACAGCACCGCATGCAGTGGCTCGCGTACGAGTGGATGAAATCGGGCGGCAAGTCAACGGCCTTTGCCACCCGGCTGACCACCTCCAGCGAGTGAAGGGTGAGCGGCAGCTGAGACAGCACCTCCAGGTACCTGGGGTAGGAACGGGAGGGGGGAGTGGGTTTTCTAATGCCTCAGTACAGGTGAGGGGAGGGAGAGAGGCAGGTCAACGGCCTTTGCCACCCGGCTGACCACCTCCAGGGAGTGGAGAGCGAGGGGCAGCAGAGACAAGACCTCCAGGTACCCCCGGGTGGAGCGATGAGGATACATGATGTAAAAGGTGTCGGCATCCAGTTACACTAGGTGAAGGGTGAGCGGCGGCTGAGACAGAACCTTGAGGTACCTGGGATAGGAAATAGAGAAAAGTATGCAGGGGTGGCGTGGGGACGGGGAGTGGGGAGGGGGAAAGGGGGAGTGGGGAGGCGGAGAGGAGGAGTGGGGAGGGGGAGAGGGGGAGTGGGGAGGGGGAGAGAGGGCGTGGGGAGGGGCGAGAGGCAAGTTAACCGCCTGGGTCACCCGGCTGACCACCAGAGAGCGATTGTGGGTGGCAGCTGAAACAACACCTCCCAATTCACCTGCTAGCCCCCAATGCCCTGCTGCTTACTCGAAAGCCGGTTGTGATGCCAGCAGCAAAGTGAGGGCGCACGCAGCAACGTCAGGGTTGTGCTCCACTAGCGGCTGGTGGGGGGTGGGATAAAGGAAGAGACGGGAAAGGAGGGAGTGAAGGGGGTGAGGGGGGGTGGCGGGGGGTGAGGGGAGGTGAGGGGGGTGAGGGGGGGTGAGGGGGGGTGTGAGTGCACGCAGCAACGTCAGGGCTGTGCTCCATGAGAGGGTGGGGAGAGATGGAATTTAGGGAAGGGAATGAGGGAACGAGAGAAGCGAGAAGGGAGGGAGTGATGGGGAGTGTGGGCGGGTGAGAGCACGCGCAGCAACATCAGGATTGCGCTCCACTGGGGCTGCTGGTGATAGCAGAAGGAAGATATGTGCTTCACGAGGGAGAGTGGCAGAAAGGAATAGGAGGAGAGGAGAGGGGGGGGGGAGGGGGGAGGTGGGAAGGAAGGGGTGAGCGCACACACATGAACATCGAGATTGTGATGGTCCACTATGGGGGGAAATGGGTACTACAGCAACAAGTAGCAGAATAGAGTAGTGAGAAATACGTACTGGCAGTGTGATGGGGTGCAGGCCACAATGCGCGACGAGTAAAGGATTGGCGGAGAGAAGCGAGAGGAGCTCCTGATGGGGTGACAGGAAAGGAACAGTGACACAGACTGTGTGAAATGAGAGGGCGTTTGACATGCCGGCAGGGTGGGGAGGGGGGGGTGGTGGGTAGGGTGCGGGTGGTGGATTGGCGGAGAGAAGTGAGAGGAGTTCCTGTTGGGAAGCCAGCGAGAGAGACAACGGGCAGAAGGATCAGATCTCAGGGCGAGATCGAAGGGTGGGAAGGCTCGGGGCGAGAAGGATCAGATCTCTTGAGATGCCGGTAGCAAGGTTGCCAGGGCGAAAGGTGGGCGCTTTGCTGAGGGCGAAAAGTAACTTCTTCTGCCGGTTCACTCCAACACAGTGCTGACTCAGGCTGCTACAGTGCCCAGTCAGCCTCGCATCCTCCTGACTCAGCCTCAACTGCCGCTGACTCAGCCTCACCTGCTGCTGTGCGGGCATGAGTGGGCCCTCCAACGCCTTGTGCATCAATTGAAACTCCACACTCGCACCTCCCTTCCCACCCACCCCCTCTCCCTCCACACTCTCCCCTCCCCTTCCTGCTTCCTCTCTCCCTCCTCCGTCCCTCCCCCCTTCCTCACCCCCACCACCTCGCCTCTCGCCTTCTCCTTCACTCACTCTCTCCGCCCTTCCCTCTCCTCTCCCCTCCTCCAACTCCCCTGAAAGTTCCTCTTTCATCAGACCCCCTCTCACGACTGCATCAGACTCCCCGGACTTAGACTCCCCTTTGGAAGAAGCAGCCTGGGGGATTGGGGTTTGGCTCTGGCTTTGGCTTCGGCGGGCTTGAAAAGTAACACCTGCTGCTGCGATGCCTGCTGGGTGCGCTGCTGCTGGTTTTGGTGCTGCTGCTGATGCTGCTGCTGCTGCTGCTGCTGCTGTTGCTGTTGCTGCTGCTGCTGCTGCAGGTGGTGTTGGTACCGCTTGTGTTGCTGCTGCCTGTGGTTGCTCTACAGGAATGTCCGGGCCGATACCATCCATCTGCAAAGAGATAAAACAAAAAGGAAACAACATGGAAACGGGGGGGAAACAAAGGGAAAAGGAAACAACATGAAACCCGCCCTTCACTGTACCTCTCCTGTACCATGTCTTTGTGGTATCTCGCCTTCACTGTACCTCACTGTACCCCACTGTACCTCACTGTACCTCACAGCACAGGACACACCTCGCCTGGCTGAGGGGGCAACAGGGGCGGCAGAGGTCGGATCCAAGGGGGCTCAAACCCACCGAATCCTCCCATTCCGCCCACACCTCCCAGCTGCAGCAGCTGAACGCACGACATTATCGATGCTGCTGACGCGTGGCTTGGTGGCGCCAGCAATGCTGCTGCTGCTGTTGATGCCCGCCCATGTGCCGTGCTGCTCCTTCTAGTGTCTAACTCCTGTGGCTTCATATCCACAGCCGCAGGTGCTAGTTGGGAGGTGGAGTGGGCGCTAACTGCCTGCATGCACTCGGAAACAGTTGCCTTGGAGCATTTCAGCAGGCGGGGCACTGCTGCTGCTTGGAAAGCACTTGTGCCCGGCCCAGCAGACGCAAAACCAGAGGAGGAGTGGAAACCGGAGGAAGCAGCGGACCGTGAAAGGGAAGAGGGAATGACGTCCGCATGTGCCTTGTAGATCGCCTCGCGCGACGGGAACTGGAGAGGGGGGGGGGATAGGGCACAGGGAGGGCAAGAGCACAAGGTGTGCAAGGGAAGGGGAGCAGGCAGAGTGGAGGGAGAAAGGGAAGAGGGAGTGATGTCAGCATGTGCCTTGTAGATCGCCAGGCAGGGGTGCAGGCAGGCAGGGGTGCAGGCAGGCAGGGGTGCAGGCAGGCAGGGGTGCAGGCAGGAAGACAAGCTCCTGAAAGGGAAGACGGATTGATGTCAGCATGTTCCTTGTAGATGGCCTCATGCGAAGGGAGCTGCAGAATGGGAGAGATGGGACATCATCGGGTAGAAAAAGTCAACCATTGTGGCAAGAAAGGGGAGTGGGAAGAGGTTGACAGCATGTGCTTTGTAGATGGTGCCGCAAGCAGGGAGCTGCAGAGTGAGAGAAAAAGGGACACAAGCTACTTCAAAATGCGAGAAGACATTGAGGGGGGGCTAACCCGACAAAGACGCACACACGCAAAGACACCCCACCCCCCCCTCCCACATCCCCCTCCCCTTCCCCTCAAACACACACCTGCTTGGGGGCCCTGAAAAGCTGCACATATTCCCGAGGTGACTTGCTGGGAACCTGAGAGGCAGTTTAAGGAGTGGAATGGTTGATTCGACCAAGAGAGTTGATGAGTGGGTTGATGAGTGGGTGGATGAGGGGGTTGATGAGTGGGTTGATGAGTGGGTTGATGAGTGGGTTGATGAGGGGTTGATGAGTGGGTTGATGAGTGGGTTGATGAGTGGGTTGATGAGTGGGTTGATGAGGGTTGGACACAGAGAGTGAGCGATCGAACGAAGAGAGGACGAGAAGCGACACAGCAGAAGCCGTGGAAGGGAGAGAGGAGAGAAGGGCTCTCACATTCGCGAAAAAAGGGAGAGGAGGCTGTGAGAGTGTATTCGAGGCGCCGTGATATGAGGTTTAAGAAGAGACGTTTCGAAAGGGAGAGGAGGCCATGAGAGTGTATTCGAGGTGCCTCAAAACCCGACAGATTACACACCTGCTTGCGAGCGTGAGAGCATAACTCATCGTAGGGAAAGGGGTGGAGGGCGGATTTCTACGCCACCTGGAAAATCGCAGAGAAAGAAAGGCAAACTTACATCCGCTAAAGAGTGTGAGAGCAGGTTGAGGGCGAAGCAGCGCTCAATGGAAGGCAGGGAGGGCTCTGCGGCCACCTGGTGGTGCAGATGGTATTGGTTGCGTTGCGGGGGATAACCAAGGTGGAAAAATACGGTTTTCATATTATACGGTCCGTTTTGTACGGTCCCTTTTATACAGCAAAAAATATAAAATACGACCGTTGCGCGTTGGGGTCCCCCAGCGTTTTGCGTAAATTCGTAAGCATAAATTCGCGTTTGCGAATTTACCTGAAATCCGCGAAACCCTGGGGGGAAATTTTCCGGGCAGCCTGGACAAAAAAATGTGAATTTTCCCACTCGATTCGCGACGACTTGGCGAAGCCATCCGTCCGTGGCCTCGCCAATTCGCGATTCTAACATTTGAACCTCCAACCATGCTCCCAACCGCATCAAACCCCACCGCATCTAGATAACCCAACCCATCTCCCACCCAACACAACTTACGCAACCATATCCACATCTCACACGCAACTCTACCAGACGTAGAGTAGATCTAGCTAATCACTCCGCGTCCTAGCTAGTAGATCTAGTAGCTTACCGCATAGACATTAGCTTCCCTCACGAGTATGATGTTGCTGTATGTTGCTGCAGGGCTGTTGTTGCGAAGGATCCCCCCCAAACTCTAGAACATGCTATGGCCATAAACTTTGAGAAGCAATATTTATTTTGTGCTTAAACTTTCTTGCTTAAAAAGAGTTGCCCTGAAATCCCCCACGCCCCCCCTGCCTGGGAACCTTTTTTTGGGCCTGCCCAGGCATTTTTTTCCTGCCCGGGCGGAACGAATTTCCCAACGAGTTCAAAACAGGGCCCTGGCGTTCGGGCGAATTTACGCCAGCGTAAATTCGTCAGCGAATTTACGCGAAATGCGAATTTTCCCACTTAGTTTTTGGGCACCTAAAAAAAAAAACTGCGGAAACAGGTTACATCGTGGCTACGATGGTTTACTCAGGGCTAAGGGGGGTAACAAACAGTTCTACAGGTACGTGTGTTGAATCTTTGTCCTCCTCCTCCTCCGCCGCCGCGCCTTCCCCCCCACTATCACCCTCACCACCGTCTCAAAACATTAACAACACTCACAAATGAAGTACCACGGTGCATCCGAAAGTGATTACAATTTAATTTAAAAAAAAAAATCCCCAGGTTTTGGCTGGTTAAAAAAATACGACCGTATTATACGACCGTTTTTCACCAACCCAAAAACGGACCTCAGGACCGTGTTAAACCGTTTTAACCGGCCGAATAAAACGATTCCGTATTATATGGTTAAAAAAATAAAATACGACCGTTTTTTTGCACCTTGGGGATAACAAGACGGGGAAGTGGGGAGGGAAGGGGGGGTGGGAGGGAAAGGAGGTGGGGGACGAGAGCAGGCTGAGAGGGATGCAGGGGTCAATGGGAGGCACGGATGGCTCTGAAGCCACCTGGTGGGGCAGATCCGCGGGGAGGGGAATACCAGAGGGAAATACCGGAGGGGAATACCAGAGGGGAAACGGGGAGGAAATGGGAACGAGGTAAAGGGTGGGGGGGATAACAAGAGGGGAGGAGGGTGGGGTGGGGGATAACAAGAGGGGAGGAGGGTGGGGTGGGGGATAACAAGAGGGGAGGAGGGTGGGGTGGGGGATAACAAGAGGGGAGGAGGGTGGGGTGGGGGATAACAAGAGGGGAGGAGGGTGGGGTGGGGCATAACAAGAGGGGAGGAGGGTGGGGTGGGGGATAACAAGAGGGGAGGAGGGTGGGGTGGGGATAACAAGAGGGGAGGAGGGTGGGGTGGGGGATAACACGAGGGGAGGAGGGTGGGGTGGGGGATAACAAGAGGGGAGGAGGGTGGGGTGGGGCATAACAAGAGGGGAGGAGGGTGCGGTGGGGGAGGAGGAGGGTGGGGTGGGGGATAACAAGAGGGGAGCGCCCAGCAGGCGGATGTGAGAGTAGGCTGAGGGCAACGCAGCGCTCAATTGAAGGCAGGGACGGCTCTGGGAACGCGGAAGGCAGAGCGCGGACGGCAGAGCGCAGAAGGCAGAATGGCGGGGAGGTGAGAGGGAACAGGTGGGATGAGAATGGGGAGAAACCATAGAGCTGTGCCATACATAGCAGGAAGTGACTCTTGAGTCGACTCAAAAGTCACCTCGCTGTGCCACACATAGCAGGAAGCAGACGTACGGGCAGTGACAGTGGGATCTCACTCACGTGCAGCAGTGACTGTTGAGAATCCTCGAAACAAGTCACTATTCACAGTATAGCATGAAGCTGGTTGTATGCATGGCAGAGACAGAGGGATCTCACGTGCAGCAACAGGGGAGCGAAGGGACGGTCCCTCAACGGCTCGTCATGTGGAACATGTGCACGTAAGCAGGAGCTTGGGTGTACAGAAGGGGTGGAGGAATCTCACATGGAGCAGGAGCGGAGCAAAGGGATGATCCCTCAACGGCTCGTTCTGGTACGTGTGATCTAAAAGGAAGAGCGAGATCAGGCGCTGGGTTCCCTTCAACGCAACCCCGTCCTGTACAGTCACATGCACGCATGGGTCAGGTCAGGGGGGTCAGGGAAGCGGAATTTGTCGCGGGGTGACATGCACGCGTTACAACCGGATTCACTTGCATTGTGGGAACAACCCAGGCAGGACTTGAAGGGATAGGACAGCAGGACACGCGCGAGTCTAAGAATACTAACACGCCTATCAGACCCACTTCTAGGAGCATGGTGAGGGTGCATCAGGCGGCGAAACGGCGGGTGGGAAACGAGGGCTGGAAAATTCGAACTTATTCGAATACAACCCTTCTGACATCGGGTATACTCTCGTTCTAGACCCACCTCTAGGAGCATGGCGAGGGTGCAGCAGGCGGTGAAACGGCGAGTGGGAGGAAAAGCGCGGGAAAAAGTGTCGGCGTTGGATTTGAAGGACCTGTCTTCTGCCAGCGTGGAGAGGAGCGCTGCTGACTCAGCACCTGACAACATGATGCGGCTATATCGAGGGTGGCACGAGAGGAGATTCCGGTCCGGAGTTACGAGAATGACGAGAGGTCGATCCGAGGTAGTTTCTAACGTAAAAACTGGGTGGATCACTGCGGTGCTGACTCGGCGGCAGACAGCATGATGGCAGAAATATGGAGGCCGGGACAAGGTGAAGTTCTGGGAAGGTATAATCGTACGGCTTGTATCAGCCTTCCCTATCGCCGTATTCACTCATGCGATGAACGATTGGGATTAATACGAGCGTGGGATCGGGGGGAGAGACGTTCACGAGTTCGCGATGACAGTGACAAGCTGGAACCAGAGGGGTAATGAAAGGGGAAAATTACTGCTGCGGACTGTCCGCAAATCTTTTCATACTTTCGTGGACAACCCCTACTTTCATGGGCACCACATCAACCTTTCGCTTCTCCCGTGGACTCCGTCCCTACTTTCATGGACATCCGCCTTACTTCCATGGACAAGGTCAAAATTGCAGGAAATGGGCGAAAACTCAACTGTACAAAAAATGACGGGCGCTGAAAAAAAAAAAAACAGCGGCTCAGCGTGCGTCGCAAAGAGTCGCGCACCACAGTGCTTCAAACCTAATCTGAAACAGAATCTCCCAGAAATTGGGAACATGACTTTCACGCCAGGTTTTCGTTTGGTGTGTTTGGCACAAAAAGTCCTGTGACGTGTGATTCGGCAGGCAGTACCCACGCGTTTCTACGTAACTGTACTTCAGAAGGAAAAATCGGTACGCTCTGTAAATTTGTCTACCAGTTCAGACTAGTGCTGCTGTTGTTGTTTACATCATATTCGCAAAAAGAAAGGTTTCTTTCTTATGATGAATGTTTTTGGAGAATTTCTCTGCATAACTTCCAAAATGTATTATGTTTTTTAACAAGGCTCTAAATAAAAATGCTTCTTTTAAATATAATTCTGATTCTGTTTTGGATTAGGTTTGGGGCACTGTAGTGCGCGACTCTTTGCGACGCACGCTAAGCCGCTGTTTTTTTTTTTTTTTTTCAGCGCCCGTTATTTTTTGTACAATTGAGTTTTCGCCTATTTCCTGCGATTTCGACCTTGTCCATGGAAGTAAGGCGGATGTCCATGAAAGTAGGGACGGAGTCCACGGGAGAAGCGAAAGGTTGATGTGGTGTCCATGAAAGTAGGGGCTGTCCACGAAAGTATGAAAAGATTTGCGGACAGTCCGCGGCAGTAAGTTTCCCTAATGAAAGGCTACTAAGTGAGATTCTCGAGGCGTGTCTGGTTTCGACAGAGCTGCCAAAGTTCACTTTAGGAGGCAACTACTGGGCCCAAGTACAGGACAATTGGACTCCATCGAGATAAAAAAACAAACCCTCGGGGGGCAATCTATCCCCGTCAGAAAAGGCTTCGCAAAATGGAACATGCTTCTGTAGCTATTTTTTATCCGAACGTCATGTAGCTATTCCTCTGTACACTTTTCTCCAGTCTTTAGTTCTCCGCGGTTCACGCTAACAGTTGGATCACATGCATCACATCACATGCCACGGTCACCACAATTATGTGCGCGGCTCGCGGATTGGCGCTTCGACGGGGGAATGCAAAATGCATGAAATTCGCCCTCGCGATTCTGAAATTCCCTGTTCCATAATTGTGGGCTGACAGACAGCCATCCACCAATAATCGTGTTGCGAAGCCGAATTACGGTCGTCCAGAGCATAAATATCAATAGCAGGTGCCCCCCGAACAGCGCTATTTCCAAGCTATCTCCACTGCCAGAGTCCAGAAGAGTGCGAAACGGGAGCTTCTTCAACGCACCGTCAGGAACAAAGCTTTCTCCACGAAAGACGCGGTTCCACTACCACATACCTACGCACGGACAAAGATACTCCTCCCACACAAGAATTCCGACGGCCTGAGCCTGCACCTGCGACTTTTGCGCGACTACTAGAAGGTTGCTTCGAAGAAAGCCACCGAACATGGCTTCGATACCCACCCACCATATTCCTTCATCTCGCAACATTCGCATCTTCCTTGTGCTCGTCTCCGCGGCGACACTTCCGTTCATTGTAGCGGCGGCTGGCGAAACGTACGCGGCTCCGAGGGTCAACGCAAGGCGCGACGGGGAAGCCTCACGCCCAAGACCGATTCAACCGAGTCAACGCAGTCAATCCGGTCAGCTGAGTCCAGCGGAAAGATCAAGCAGCGGGGGCTCTCGTCCAAGCAGCCCTCGGAACGGCGGCGGTGGCGAAAGCGGCGTCTCACAACTCGCGAAGCCAGCGAGCATCGTGGACATGATGGCCGTATCGCGATCTGGCGTCTCTTGGCGCGGGAATCTGCCACGTGCGTCGAGCCGCGCTGAAGGCGCCGGGGACGCGAACTCCGACGGCTGGGATACTAAGAACGATACGCGCTTTCGCCGGGTGAGTTTCACGAACAAACAGAGTTACCATGTGAAAATGAAAATCTATTACGGGTTGAAGTGTGGGAGGAGGGGCGCGTCCACCCTTTCGTGCTGGCCGCCATTCTTGCTCTTACATTGTATTCTGAGAACCCTCAAAGTCGACTGTATCCTTAACCAGTTGAATTATTCTGAGAATCCTCAAGCTCTAATGCAGTCTCACATATCTCCTACCTACCTGTCTATTTGCTTTCCGACACATCATCCTACAAAAGCGACTGAAAGGAAGCGGCAGCAGCGGTGGCAAGAGCGGCGGCCGTGTTTTCCTTACTTCTGCCTGTATCCCTCTCCAATCTGCCTGATTCCTTTCCTTCTTTTCATTCCTTGTCTCCTACCTGCCTCTTTGATTTCCTCCACATCCTCTGTTACAGGCGGTGCTGAATGGAAGCAGCAGCAGCGGTGGCAAGCGCAGCAGGGGGCGCTTCATTTTCTTCTCCCTTTATTAGCATTGCCTCCTTTTCAATCCATGTCTCTCCGCCTCACGCATCCCTGCTCTCCCACACACCTTACACAGGCGGTGCTCAAAGGAAGCAGCAGCAGCGGTGGCAGGAGTAGCAGCAGCAGCAGCGGTAAGTCGAGCGGCAAAAGCAGCGGCAGCAGCAGAAGCAGCGGAGGCAGCAAAGGCAGCGGTGGGGTTAGCAGAATAGCCAAGGGGCGGACCAATTTCAGGGTGCATTCTAGCGTGCGAAACGACGACGACGACCAATGCGACAATCTTTTCGATAGTTACGCAAATTGTGTTACGGCTGGGACGTGCGACGACAAGCTCGAGAGTTGTACATTGAGTAGCGGGGTTACGTGCGAGAGTGATTTCACCGACTGCTTGAACAAGAACCAACCCGCTTGTGAGGATTTGTATTCGAATTATGATAACTGCGTCAACAGTGCTGGCGAGAGGTTCAAGGTATCGCTAAAGCTTGTGTGGATGGCGGTTGCAGCTGCTCTGCTGGCCACTGTAATCTGAGAATAGCCTGGAGCTTCTTAGCTTGTGTGCCTGTGTCTCTTTGCCTTAAGCAGTCGATGTTGACTGCAATAAGACATGTTGCATGCATGCTGCATGTTGCAACATGCGAGATGAAATTGATGTTGCAGCTGGTGGCAGCAGCAGCTCTAATGGCACTGGAGGAACCTGGTGGGTAGAGTCTCATACCCATTTGACTCAGATGTCGAAGGATACTCCACATAAGGGCGTATTCCTACAAAGTAGGATCTACACCAAAGTAACTCTAATGTTACCGCATCCCATGTAGTTCCTGCTGTTCTATAACATCCTGATCTACAGCCTCGGGCGACGTCGCATGACTGTGACGGCTGCCGACGAAACCAAATCGCATAGCGGCTGACGTGTTTACGAAGGATGGACGCGTGCTGGTGCGCTGATTGGTCGAGGGATCGAGTAAACGCCAACCTGACCAACCTCACGCCTCGCAAAAACCAGCGAACATAGTTGCATGGCAGCTGTATGGGGCTGGGAGATTGACGGTTTGGGAGTTTGCCTTGCTGCCCGGACCTGCCGAGTTCGTCGCCCTGCACTGTCGGTCTGACGTGACGCCTTGGCGCGCCCGTAATCACTCGACGGTTGACCGCCTTCCATTGTCGCACTCCACGTGTATTATGCCGGTGTGAGATTGATATGTGACAAAATGCGGCCCAATGCGACTCCATCGTATAGCGAAGGAACTGGATCCGCGTTGTAATACACTTAGCCCGCGGTAATTTCACACCCTGAAACTGGACGGCAGAAGAAAATTTGTTTTCACCCTGACCATTTCTGAGTGCGTAGACAGTACCCCCTTGTCCCTACGGCCTAAGCTGGAAAGCCTCCACGCGGGCAAAAACTTTGAGCACTGCCTAAGCTGACGTCGGGTTTCCTGACTCGAAATACACTAAGTCGAGCAGTAAACGTTTCGTATAGAAACCCAAGTTCAAATTGTTTTTCAAGGGTATCCAGATCTGGTCTTCAGGAGCTGCTTTCGGGAGGTGAATACCCTCTCGGCGGCACCCCCTGTGAAAACAATTGGTGTGAGAATACCGCGGGCTAGGTGTACTGGTATTAGGTGGATCCGGTTTACAACCAGTAGATCCTAAAACCCCTGCCATCTGAACACAATTTAGTGATTCCTAAGTACAGTCTTATACGGAACATTGAAATAAACGTCTGGTCAGTCTCTAAAACCCTTGCCATCTGAACACAAATCGGTGATTCCTAAGTTTACAGGTACAGAGCAACCATGTGCGATGGTATAAACGGATCCGCTACAGAAGCAATCACAGCAACGTAGATCTCGCTCCCGCCAAGAGTCGCAAGCTTATTGGCCGGCATAAAATCGTCTGCTGACACCATGTGAATGCATGTGAGGCCCCATGACTGCATCAGGAGGTGCAGGGAGGCATGGGTGCTGCATGGCGAAAGAGGGGAAGAGTGTGTGGAGGATGCAAGGGGAGGGAGCATGACACATCCTGAGGATGCAAGTGAGAGGCCCCATGACTGCATGAGGAGGTGCAGGGAGGCATGGGTGCTGCATGGGGATGAATGGGAGGGAGAAAAATTGGATTTGCTTGCAACAAGCATGCGAATGCATGTGAGGCCACATGACTGCATGAGGACGTAAAGGAAAGGGAGAAGTAGCAAGAGTTTGCACGCATGAAAGAACCATGGACCCTCATACTGGCTTTCATATTGCGTGCATGGCAAGAACCCCACGCTAGGGCATGTGGGGAACAGCCTGGCATGGCATGGCAACACCCCCACATGGCCCCACACCCCAAGGATTCCAGCAGAGAACTCGACGCATGCAGAATCAGCACGAGGTGACTTCTAGTCCCAGAGTCAACTCAGAAAAATGCAACGGGTGTCAAGGGCGATCCTCCCTGCGTGCTTGGTAAGCCGTGATGAAGACTGAGCCCTGACGAAGACAGAGAAGGTGAGCAGTCGCCAGGAGGGACTTTTGAGTCGACTCAAAAGTACGCAACGGGTGTGAAAGGGGACCTACCTGCGTGCTTGGTAAGCCGTGATGAAGACCGAACCCTGCTTCAACCCAAGGAGAAAATGAGCCGTTGCCAGTAGCGGTTCAAATGCTGCAGCAAGCAATGGGAAGTGGCGGCATTAGGCGTCTATTTTTTAGGTGCCTCAGAAATAAGCTTCACGCAACTCACAACGCAGAAGCTGCATCCCACGACTTCCGCTGTGACAGGGCGGCACAAGAAACCTGCATCAGGCTTTAGGGATCGCTACACTACACGCGTCTCCATACAAACATCCTCCACACAAACATTCTCCATACGTCTCCACTGGACCTCACAGCACAGCTCCTCCCTTCAAACAGTGCCAACGAGCCACTTAGTGCCAAAGAATGTCACCCACACAGCGCCACACAGCGCCACACAGCGCCACAAAGCACCACACAGCACCACACAGCGCCACACGGCACCACACAGCACCTCACAACGCTCCACGGCACCACACAGCGCCACCGAGCATACCAGAAGCATCGTAGAGCACATCTGCTCCAATGATGACGTCAGCAGGGGGGAGATTAAAGACGTCAGGGTTCAAGTCGCCCCACGTTAGTGGCATGACGCGGACAACGTTGGAAGACGAAGGGTGTGGAAAAGTCTGGTCACTTCCGGAATGGCCCTCCTCGGTGTTATGAGTCCGCATGCACCCTGTGCCAGTGGTATCCGTACAGGAGAAGCCATTCTGCTCCGCTGCTCGCTGGAGGGTGGAGAGGACCTGCAAGGACAAGCAATGGCTACATTGGTATGGGCAACCATGGGGGTTGGGAGCCGGGTGGGGGTGGGGGTGGGGGTGGGGGTGGGGGTGCAGTGCAACGAGGGTCTGGGGAGAAGTTGAAACGCCTTAAGATAGCACTAGTCCGTTTTGCTTTGGAGAGGAGGCAACAAGGTGAAGAGGAGTGACCACATTAGTCTGGAAGCGGAGTACCCGTATGAGTCTGGGACAGTTTTTGAGCCAAAAAAAAAAGACAATATGGTGAAGCGGAGTAATCATACGAGCCTGGAACAGTTTTTGAGCCAACAAAAAAAGACCGTATGGTGAAGCGGAGTAACCATATTAGTCTGGGACAGTTTTTGAGGCAGATAAGCTTTTTGGCAATATGGTGAAGAGGAGTGACCACATGAGTCTGGGAAACAAAGGAGAAGCACCTGAAATTGGGAGCGAGCGCCTGTGAACCTTGAGGCGCTTCAAGGGCGGGCAAGGCGACGTACCTGCGACTGGGTGTGAGCGTCTGTGAGTGTGACTCGCGCACCCAGCTTGGCACATAGCAACCCGCACAGGCCTGTTCCTGCTCCCAGCTGCATGCAAGGGCGACAGGGGGGTAAGGACGTGCGGGCTTGGTGAGAACGCGGGGTGGGCATTGATTTCAGTCAACTCACAAGGCACGGAGATTGGCACATAGCAACCCGCACAGGCCTGTTCCTGCTCCCACTTGCAACCATAACTGGGTAGCAGGCGCGTGGTCAGGTTATACAAGCAGAATGGCTCAAACTCACATGGACAGCTCAGACCTGGCCTGTTACGTGACACAATTCCAGAACCACGATACGCTTAGACTCACCCACCTCTATCACACTCCTCCCCTGTATCAACCCCTGCTGCTGCCACAGATACTCCCCCAGCACCACCGCTGAAGGCCACGTGTGCAGCCCCACATCCTGGCCCAGGTGCTGCGGGGATGGGGGAGAGGGGGGGGGCGGAGAAGGGGAACGGGAAAGAAGGGGAACTGGGGAGAGGGCGAGCGGTGGGGCGAAGGGCGGATGGGGGCGTTCCGCCAGTGCACTGCTGACGGCCACGTGTGCAGCCCCACGTCCTTGGCAATGTGATGGGGAGACGAGGGATGTGCAGAAAGAAGGGGGAAAGAAGAGGGAGTGGGGAGAGCGCGAGGGGAGGGACGAAGGGCGGTGAAGGCATTCCGCCAGCGCCACTGCTGAGGGCCCCGGCGCTGGCCCAGGTGCCGGGAAGATGGGGGGGGGGAGGGGGGAGAGGGGGGGGGGGGTTGCGGCAGGAGGGAACGAGGGGAAGGGGTCGAGGGCATTGCGCCAGCACCACCGCTGAAGGCCACGTGTGCAGCCCCACATCCTGGCCCAGGTGCTGGGGGATATGAGGTCAGAACAGCGGCAGTGGTGTGGGGGAGTGGGAGGGGGGGGGGGGGGGGGAGAGAGACTTAGAAACTGTGTTTCTGTGCCAGGGAAAGGGGGGAGCCATGGCTTTTGGGCCGACAAGATGGCGTTTCCTGGTACTCCGTAATGCGTGTACCTCTAAGACTGACACTCGCAGAGAAGCGCTCCCGCGCCTTGTTCTAAAGCTTATTTTCTCGCCGCTTTCCGCTCTCACTGGGTCGCCGACTATTCTCTGTCGCGAATCTGTGCGATCGTCGCGACTGTCGCTGGAGCTGTCGCTGGACGTGCTGCGACTGCTGTTCGTCTGAACCTGCTCGCTGTCAGAATCGCCAATGTGGAAAGAAAAGACACGGACGCCGGACATGGAACGCAATAGTCTCGAGCCAAATCTAGTAGATTCTTTCCGCAGTTCAATAACAGTAGGACGGAGTTCAAGAAATTGCTGATTATGATTCGATACGCGTTGCTAGGTCAAACGGATGTTTCGTTACCTAAGACAGCAGCCAAGTTAGCAAGGAGCGCAAATACTCTATGTAGAAGATAGCAGGTAGATGAGACCAACACTATTATGTAATCTTACCATGATTGGCTAGTTGATCTCACGAAAACGGCCACGCCCTCCCTAATGAGAAAATGGAAAAATGTGATTTTGATCAAAATGTGAATACATGCGAAGTATTACAAAGACGGATAGCGTTACAGCGGAGGACGTGTAACGCGAATGCCTTTGCTGGTGTGGCAAGGATAGCGATCGTACACGTGTCTCTGACATCAGACCCACTCGTCACAACCTCACACTTTCCACTCTTTCCACTTCGCACTTCAGTCTGTCGGAAAAGGCCACATCTAGCCGTCCATTTCTCATCATAGCCGCTACGAGCCCTATCAGCCGCAGATTTTACCATTTCCACTCCTTGTCGCAGATTTCCTCCCAGGGCTGACTTCCCTCGAAAGCTCATTCGTCCCCTCGGGATAACCGACGACACTTTCGATAGTGTCACTCCAAACAGAATCATTCTACCCTTCCCCTTCTTCCTTCCCTCGATATTGTACCTTTTGATCTCAACCTCAACCAATCCCTGAAATCTGGCGATCAGCTCATGGCGTTGACTGATCGCCTTCTGGTTATGGCTTCCAACTGAATCTTATGCCAGCTGTAACTTTCTGTGAGGAAACCGCTACTGGGCGATTATTATTTTTCTCACAGATGTTTTGCCCATTCCTGAGCTGATCAGGCTTTGGTTGGCTAACTTGGTCCAGAAGTACCTGGTCTCAGTGTCCAGGAGTGAGCGTTCGCGTCTTGAAAGCCATCATACGCCATCATAGGCGAAGCGACTGCTTCCTAAAGGCTCTGGGCGCGTGCTTTGAGCCCCAAGGCCCCCGCGAGCTCTCCATCGACTCGGCAATCGCTTAGATTTCCAGGCTCGATCAGACAGAAATCGCTTCTCATGGCGTTCGCCGCGACAGCCTGCGTGCCGTCATCCGTGACCTGGTCGACCCGAGCCGGTCAGGCTGAAGCATCGGACAGCTCAGCCAACTCTCTCAACAGAACCGGTGCTGCAACGAGCAGCGCAGGAAACACGTCTATCTCCTCCATCTCTTCCGCCTCTTCCACCTCCCGTCGCAACCGCAGTGCCTGCAGCACACAAGCTGTTCGTCGAGCCGCTTTCCATGGAATCAGTAGCGAAACCTCTCGATCATTATCCGGGACGCAACCGCTTGCAAGCAGCGTGAGCAGCGGCCATGGGTCCTTGAGCAGCGGATTGTCGTCTTTCTCCGGCGAGGGGCTAAACGTCGTCTGGGTGCCGTCGACGGCCGTGCGAAACCGTCGCCTGCGATCAGCAGGTCCGTGTGCGATAGATCTTGTATATCGTCGCCCAGACGCAGTCGGTTCTGAGTTCAGATTCCGTTCCTCGGGAATGACGAGACATCGCGTTGCCTCTATGGAGGCTTGATATCACGAAGGCACACAGATCGTCGGGAGTCATTTTCGAGAAATTTAGACTATGAATTCAGTCCACTATGTCAGCCAGTTAGATCAGACACCTTTCTCGTTGGCTTTTGTGGCGATCCGCCATAAATCTTTCCGCTAGTCCAAGTCCGTGTGCTGAGTGCTGTAGCGATTTTGAAGTTTGGAGAGTATACGAGTCTAGTCTAGTTAAATCTAAGGACGACGAAGGTGATAAGTTACACCTGCTGGCACGTTACATCTGATGGTCGTTTCATCTCGTGGTACGTTCTGACGCCTGGGTCTGTGGCTTGCCACCGAACTTTGCGAACCATGTCTTAGACTGAAGGGCCTCGTTGAATGCGTTTCCTCCTGCTCCTCTCGGTCTCTGACAAGAATTCCGTCAAATAATCCGTCAATATTTCTTTCAATAGTTGCGTCCATGCGGCCAATCTGCTATCACGTCTTCCCTTTCTTCTCCTTCCCCACCAGAAATCCCTTTTGGTTCTCTGCCTGTCATGCTCTCGTTACCCCCTATTATCGCCTCTCGTTGTTTCTCGATCTTACTATTCCTCCGTCGCCCCCTCCCTTCCATACCATCCCCCCCCCCAACCCCCCACCTCCGCCTCCCCCTCCGCCTGCCGTTCCCCGCTGCCTTCCGCCAGCGTCCCGCGTGGTGCAGGCTGCGGCAGCAGCGGAAGCGAAGGGCGCGGAGGGGGAAGCGCAGGCGGGGGAGAGCGCGGAGGGCGCGGGCGTGGGCAAGGGGAAGCAGGGGCAGCGGCGGGTGGTGGTGACGGGCATGGGCATCGTGTCGTGCCTGAGCATGAACCCGCACGAGTTCTACCAGAAGCTGCTGGACGGCACCAGTGGCATCTCCGCTATAGAGGGCTTCGACGCCTCTGAATTCACCACCGTAAGGCTCTGCTGGTTGGCTGTAAGGAGGTAGGCGGGAAACGCGAGGGCCCTGAAATAAGGGAGAATACATCGTGAATGAAGGGGAGGAAAGCACAGACGGAGGGCACAGACGGAGGGCACAGACGGAGGGCACAGACGGAGGGCACAGACGGAGGGCACAGACGGAGGGCACAGACGGAGGGCACAGACGGAGGGCACAGACGGAGGGCACAGACGGAGGGCACAGACGGAGGGCACAGACGGAGGGCACAGACGGAGGGCACAGGCGGAGGGCACAGGCGGAGGGCACAGGCGGAGGGCACAGGCGGAGGGCACAGACGGAGGGCACAGACGGAGGGCACAGACGGAGGGCACAGGCGGAGGGCACAGGCGGAGGGCACAGGCGGAGGGCACAAGTAACAAAAACCACGTCAGCTTTCCTCCTAAATCCTTCCCCGCCCATCCCCCTTTTCCTCCTCTCCCCCCTCCCGCCCCCCACTTCCGCCCCGCTTGTCCCCTCTCGTTTCCCGCCTCCCTCGTTGCAGCACATTGCAGGGGATATCACGTAATTGAAGGACAAAGGCCACGTGCACCCCAAGATGGCTTGCACTTGTTCCCCTTTTTTCCTCCCCACCCTCCTACTCCTCCCGCCCCTTCCTCCCCACTCCCAGCGCATCATCGCAGGAGAAATTAAGGGCTTCAAGGACAAGGGCTACGTGCACTCGAAGATGGCGCGGCGCATGGACAAGTACATGCGCTACCTGCTCACCGCGGCCACTCAACAGGGCCCAGGGGCTCTAGGCTCTACCACCCGCCCTCCATTCTGACCCCTACCCTGGTCTGTTTCCTTCCCCTTTTCTCCCCTATCTCCCTCCTTCCCCCTTTTCCTCCCACCCCCACCCACCCACCCGCCCACACACCCACCCACCCACCCGCTACCTGTTTCCCCCTTACCAGCGCATTGATGGCGAGATGAAGGACTCCAAGGACAAGGGCTACGTGCACCCCAATATGGCGCGGCACATGGACACGTACATGCGCTACCTGCTCACCGCGGGCAAGCACCAGGGAAGGAGAACCTCTAGGGTCTACCACCCGCCCACCATTCTGACGCCTACCCTGCTCTGTGTCCTTTCTTCCCTCCCTCCCCTCCCATCACCCACCCACGCGCCCTCCCTCCCCACCCACTACCGTTCTTTTCCTAATCCCAGCGTATTTCAGGCGAGATCAAGGACTTCAAGGACAAGGGCTACGTGCACCCCAAGATGGCGCGACGCATGGACAAGTACATGCGCTACCTGCTCACGGCGGCCACTGAACTGAAGGGTGCTCAAGGGGCTCTAGGCTCTACCACCCGCCGCCTGGCATTCTGACGCCTAATCTTCCCTGTCTCCTTCCTTCCCTCTCTCTCCCCACCCACCCACCCACCCACCCGTCCACCCCATCCCATCCACCCACGTTCTTTTCCTGCTCCCAGCGCTTTGCGGGCGAGATCAAGGACTTCAAGGACAAGGGCTACGTGCACCCCAAGATGGCGCGGCGCATGGACAAGTACATGCGCTACCTGCTCACCGCGGGCAAGCGGGCGTTGAGGGACGCGCACATGAGCAAGGAGGTGCAGGATGGCTTCAACAAGCAGAAGTGTGGCGTGCTCATTGGCTCCGCCATGGGCGGCATGCAGGTGGGCGGCAGGCAGGGAGCTGCGTGGGTTGGCAATGGGCGGCACACAGATAGGCAGGCAGGTTCCTCTGCCCAGCAGTTAGGTGGGTCTGCGCGTTTTAAGGCAGTCAAGTGAGGAGATCGAAGCTCCTAGACACTGTTGGTTCCTTAGGGAGGGTGCGCGGGACCTTGTAGGGAAATGGCATGGACGACAAGTACATGCGCTACCTGCTCACAGCGGGCAAGCGGGCTTTAAGGGACGCGCACATGAGCAAGGAGGTGCAGGATGGCTTCAACAAGCAGAAGTGCGGCGTGCTCATTGGCTCCGCCATGGGCGGCATGCAGGTGGGCGGCAGACTGGCAGGTGGATGGATGAGAGGCCTAGAGCCACTTATTGGGTCGCTCACGGGTGGCATGCAGGTAGGTGTGGATGGCAATTCTATGAATTCAAACGCCTCTAGTGCGCCGAGCCCATTGGGTCGGCGCTGGGCGGCATGCAGGTGGGTTGGGTTGGGTGTATTGCTGATAACTTATTGGACGCACTGGGTGTCATGATCCCATTCCAAAGTCCTCGTCTTCTCCCCCCCACTCTCCTCGCACCCTTCTCACCCCTTTTTATCACTCCTTTCCCTCCCCTCCCTTCAGGTGTTCAACGACGCAGTGGAGGCGCTCAAGGTGTCGTACCGCCGCATGAACCCGTTCTGCATACCCTTCGTCACCACCAACATGGGCTCCGCCATGCTCGCCATGGACCTGGTACGTGCTGTAGTGGTGGATATGCCAAGAGCCCCACCCTGCTACATATGGATATGCCAAGAGCCCCACCCTGCTACATATGGATATGCCAAGAGCCCCACCCTGCTACATATGGATATGCCAAGAGCCCCACCCTGCTACATATGGATATGCCAAGAGCCCCACCCTGCTACATATGGATATGCCAAGAGCCCCGCCCTTCGTCACCACCAACATGGGCTCCGCCATGCTCGCGATGGACCTGGTAGGTTCTGGTGGTATGGACCTGATGTGCACTACCTGTGCCATGTATGGAGTATGTGCTGTAGTGCCATGGACCTGGTGTTCTGCTATTCAAAGCCCTTCGCCCATCCTTCATGAAGTGTTTCTCTACCCAACCCGCAGAATGACACTCATCAACTCCTCACCTCATCTGATCCACTTCTGTGTCCGCTGCCTCCCCTGCCTCCTCCATCCAGAGCCTCGTCTCTGTAGCCTGTGTTAGATCCCCTGCTGTAAAAACCGCGTGTAATGAGTCTGCTTTGAGTCGACTCAAAAACCACTTTTGCCTCCCCTGCCTCCTCCATCCAGTGCCTGGTTCTCTGTAGCCTGTGTTAGATACCCTGTTGTATCCAGCTTTTGCAGTCTCTTCCCTTTTATATTCTATAACTCCCCCTCCCCCCACCACCCACCTCCACCCTTCTCTCTGCCCCACCCATGCCCTTCTCTGCTCCAGGGCTGGATGGGCCCCAATTACAGCATTTCTACTGCCTGTGCCACAGCCAACTACTGCATTCTCGCTGCTGCGCAGCACATCCAGAGAGGCGACGCGGTGAGTGGCGTTATTGCTGCTCCTGTGTGTGCAGAGGAGTGATGCAGCCAATGACGTACAGGGCAGTAGCTTACTCAGATTTGTGCTCCTCGTGTTACGCTGTGCAGCGCAATCTCGCCCTATAAGTGCGTACATTGTTTGCCAGGGCTGGCTGCCCCTTATCAAGTGGTCCTTCCCCTTCTCTCCCTCTTTTTGGGGCCTGATTCCCATGTGATTTTATGCCCCCCCTCACAGGACGTCATGCTGACAGGAGGATCATATGCGCCCGTGTTGCCTCTTGGTTAAACCGCTTTTCTTCCTTCTTCTTCCCATCTCCCCTCCCTTTTGTCCCTCTGCCCCTCACCTGCATCCCCTCCCTCCCAGGACGTCATGCTCACAGGAGGGTCAGACGCGCCCGTCTTGCCCCTTGGTAAAGCCCCTGCCATTCCATCCTCCTCTTCCTTCCCCCCATCCCCCCTCCGCTCCTCCCCCTCAGCCTTCCACCTTACCCCTCTTAGGGCTGAGCACAGCTTTACCAACCCCCCCATCCTTCCCAGTTTCCTCCACCTCTTCCTTTTCCCTATCTCCATCTTACGCGTTTTTCCAGTTCCCCCCTTCGAGTTAGACCTTGCACTGACCCTGGACTGGACCCTTGACGTCTCTGGCGCCAAGCCAACGTGCAGGTGCAGGGAGTCTGAAAAATAGTCTGAAGTGCAGTCCGGGGGTAGCAGACCAAGCCCACCTGCCTGATTCCGCCATTGACCCATTCCATCACCCCCTGCCCCTTCCTCTTGCACCCCTCCCAGTCCACCCCCCCGTCCCTCCCCCTTCCTCCCTCTCCCTCTCTCGTTCGCTCTCTCTCGTTTTCTCACTCTCTATGTGTCTCTCACTTCCCCTCCTTCCCCACCTCTCTCCCCCGCTCTCCAGGACTGGGTGGGTTCATCTTTTTTTAGGCTTCCCCCCCCAATAAAAAGGCTTCCCCACCTCTCTCCCCTGCTCTCCAGGACTGGGTGGGTTCATCGCCTGCAAGGCACTCTCTCGCCGCAACGACGAGCCTGAAAGGGCCTCCCGCCCCTGGGACAAGGTCAGTGGGCTTATTACTCCTTGTGCAAATCAAATCAAGGCTATAAATCTTACCCTTACGAGAAGGCCTCGCGCCACTGGAACAAGGGCTGTTGCACTTGGAGAATTTTTTGGGTTGCATTAAGTACTTTTAGTTGAAAGGCCCCTCCCCCCACGGACAAGGTGCATGGACTCAACCTGTTCCTCTCGCCTTTCGTCTCTTCTACTCTTTGGCACCTCGTTGTTCCGCATCAAGAAGTTTGCTTCTCCGCTTCGCATCTGTCTTGGCCCACTCTCCCCCCCACCACCCCCCTTGCGTTACCCCCCGTTTTGCCCCCACCCTGCACCCTCTCTCGCTTTCGCCCAGGATCGCGATGGCTTTGTGATGGGCGAGGGAGCAGGCGTGCTAGTGTTGGAGGAGCTTGAACATGCCAAGGTGCGTACCTCGTGTGACACATCTAGCTACTCAGATCCGCACTCTACCGCACTGTACCGCACTCTACCACACTGTACCGCATACCAAGGTACATGATGGGCGAGGGAGCAGGCGTGCTGGTGTTGGAGGGGCTTGAACATGCCAAGGTGCGTACCTCGTGTGACACATCTAGCTACTCAAATCCGCACTGTACCGCACTCTACCGCACTGTACCGCATACCAAGGTACATGATGGGCGAGGGAGCAGGCGTGCTGGTGTTGGAGGAGCTTGAACATGCCAAGGTGCGTACCTCGTGTGACACGTCTAGCTACTCAGATCCGCACTCTACCGCACTGTGCCGCACTCTACTGCACTGTACCGTATACCAAGGTACATGATGGGCGAGGGAGCAGGCGTGTTGGTGTTGGAGGAGCTTGAACATGCCAAGGTGCGTACCTTGTGTGATGTGTCCTGGACCCTGGACCCTGGGACCCGGGACCCTGGACCCTAGGACCCTGGACCCTGGACGCTGGACGCTGGTACGTTGTAGATCTGGTACTTGATGAGCGTAGTAGTGTTGTGCCATCCTTCTTCAATCCGTAAGCCCAAGGCGCCACCATATACGCAGAGTTCCTGGGCGGCGGGTTGTTGTGCGATGCATACCACATCGATACAGACCCACATCTCTTGCCCCTCCCATTTCCACTTTATCCCTCTCCACGGTTCTGTGCGGCTGTGCCTCTTCCCTCCCGAAACCTCTCCCTTCCCAATTCCTTCTCCCTCCAACCACCTCCCTCCGAAGGCCCGAGGCGCCACCGTATACGCAGAGTTCCTGGGCAGCAGTGTGTTGTGCGATGCTCATCACATGACCACCAGACCCGCTCCTCTTGCCTTCCCCGTATACTGTTCACCTCACTCCACCCCTCTGTACCTCTCCATTCCCTTCCTAGGCCCGCGGCGCCACCATATACGCTGAGTTCCTGGGCGGCAGCGTGTCGTGCGATGCTCATCACATGACCGACCCGCACCCTGAAGGTAAGCCTGCGCATTTTTCAAGTATCTCACTAGGCTCCGAGGTTAAGTGGACCAGAAAAACCTCACGGATTGACTAGTCACCGCACATGGGTCCACCTAGTTGTTCTCCTCACTCCTGCTTCTGCCATGTTTAAGTGCTTTACCCCCTCTCTTCCCTCTGTCTCCCAGGCCAGAACGTGCAGTGCAGTGCAGTGCATTGACCGAGTTATAGAAGTCTTGTTTTTCAATAACCAACTCAACCCAGGCCACAGCGTAAGGTGCGGTGCATTGGCCCAGCGGTGCGGGCACCAGAAACCATGGGACTTAGACAAGCTAAGTCAATTATCATGCGATATTATTTCCCTTCCCGATTTCCCCTTCTTCTGTCCGTGCAGGCAAGCGCGTGCTGATGTGCCTTGAGCAAGCGCTAGAGCCATCAGGGGTCTTAACGCCCACGCCACCAGCACTCTCACCCCCCCCTCCCTTCCCTTCTCAGCCCCATCTTCTCTCCCTTCCCCTTCCCCCTCAGGCAAGAGCGTGATGGTGTGCTTTGAGCATGCACTGGACCCGTCATTAGTACCAAGAGTATGTGAACAACGCCAATGCCAACGCCACCGCGCTTCCATGCTCCCCTCTTTTGTCCTCCAGGCAAGGGCGTGCTCATGTGCATTGAGCAAGCGTTGCAGTCATCAGGAGTGCCCCGGGAGTATCTGATCTACATCAACGCCCACGCCACCACCCTCCCATGCCCCTATCCCTAATCCTCCAGGCAAGGGCGTGCTGATGTGCAATGAGCAAGCCTACCAGCACTCACATATCTCCCCCTTCGCTTCCTTTCCCCTGCCCCCCCCTCCCTTGCCCGCCTCCCCCTCAGGCAAGGGCGTGCTCATGTGCATTGAGCAAGCACTGCAGTCATCAGGAGTGCCTTGGGAGTATGTGAACTACGTCAATGCCCACGCCACCAGCGCCCTCCATTCTCCCCCTCCCATGCCCTCCCCCCCCCCTCCCCTCAGGCAAGGGCGTGCTCATGTGCATTGAGCAAGCACTGCAGTCATCGGGAGTGCCTCGGGAGTATGTGAACTACGTCAACGCCCACGCCACCAGCACCCTGGCCGGCGATGTGCAAGAGTACAAGGCGCTGGTGGCTGCCTTTGGGAACAACCCCGTGGTAAGCCAACGCTCTTTCTGAGGTGCCCCAAAGGGGACTATGACAATGCCCATGCTGCCAGCACACTCTCAGGCGACGTGCAAGACTAGAAGGCGCTTGTGGCTGCTTTGGGGAACAACCCTGTGGTAATCATCTACTGTAATAAATAAAAACCGTGCAACGTGTGTGCATCAGTACGAACGACGTGCAAGAGTACAAGTCGCTGGTGGCTGCCTTCGGGAACAACCCTGTGGGAAGTCAAACCTATTTCTCAACCCCTTTTTTTTGGAGGCGCCTACAAAATAGACTGTCAATGCTCATGCCACCAGCACGCTGGCTGGCAATGTGCAAGAGTACAAGGCGCTGGTGCCTGCCGTCAGGAACAACCCTGTGGTAAGTCAAAGCTCTTTCTCAACCCTTACTTCTGAGGCGCCACAAAAATAGTCCACGTCAATGCCCACGCCACCAGCACCCTGGCTGGCGATGTGCAAGAGTACCAGGCTGCAGTTGGCACCAACCCTGTGGGTGGTAGTTTTGAGCTCGTTCTCAACCCTAGGAGGAGCCGCCTTGAGGTACCTCAGAAGCACGCTGGCAGGCTCTGGTGCAAGAGTGGTGTACAAGGCTGCGTTCAGAAACAAACCCTGTCGTAAGGATCTCTGGGTTCGGCTTACAGAGAGCTTTGGAAGATGTCTCAAGGTCACTCCTGCAGGCGATGTGCAGCGGCGCAAGAGGGCCAGGCCCTGGTGGCTGGTTTTGGGAGCCAACCCCGTGGTAAGGCATTATTTATGCATGGCTTTTCTAGTAGTCCCTTGAAGACACTCTTGCTAGTGATATTTACGGCTACGAGGCATTTATGGCTGCATTTGGGTGGTACTAACCCCCTTTCGATCGGACTACCTCCCACCTGCTAGGCGCTGAGGGAGGAGTACTGAGTTGGTCAGAATCCACCCTCTCCCATATGCTGCCCCCCTCCAATCCCCCCCCTCCCCCTCCTCCCCACCTCCCTCCCTCGCAGCTGAAGATGAATGCGACCAAGTCCATGATCGGCCACCTGCTAGGCGCTGCAGGAGGAGTGGAGGCGATTGCTACTGTTGGGGTGAGTTTGATGTCAAAGTAACGCTTAGTCTGGGAGTCCTGTGAAGGCGATTGCTACTGTTGGGATGAGTCTTATGTCAAAGTGGCACTTAGTCTGGGAGTGCTGTGAAGGCGATTCCTACTGTTGGGGTGAGTTTGATGTAAAAGTAGCACCTAGTCTGGGAGACTGGTAGTGTTGTGAAGGCGATTGATCCTTTTGGGGTGAGCTTTTATGCCAATGATACTACCCAACCCCTCGTCTCCCACCCTTGCTGCGAACTCACAGCCCCTGTGCAGGCCATTCACACACTGGCTATCTCCACCATAACCTCTACAATCGAGCTGATCCATGCACCTCACGTCCAAACCCTTCCCTTTCTCACCCCTCTGCAACCAAGCCGTTGCACCTACACGACGCAGGCCATTCACACGGGCAACCCCTATCCAGGCAACCCCCATCCTGTCTTTGACATTTCAAAGCAGCTCGCGCCCCCTCCCCCCCATTACTTCCTGACCTTCTGCCAACGCATTGCCCCCATGCAGACCATTTACCTTGGCTTGTTCCATACCAAACTTTAGATTCCACATGCTTCAAACCACCTCCCTCCCCAACCCCCTCTCTCTCCCAGCCCCCCTGGAACCAACCCAGGCCCCCACCCCATGCAGGCCATTTACACAGGCTTCCTCCACCTCCACCCCAACCTTGAACTTTCACATGCTTCAAACCACCTTGCTCCCCAAATTCTTCGCTCTCTCCCACCCCCCCGCAACCACCACATTGCCCCCATGCAGGCCATTCACACGGGGTACCTCCACCCCAACCTCAACCTAGAAAACCTCGAGGAAGGACTGGTAAGGGTTTGCTGGGAGCAATGGACCGTAAGGGATGTGATTCTGTGCGAGGCCCCGACGAGGAAACTTTCTCCCCTCCCCAAGGCTTCTCTCCTTTCTCCGTTGTTCTCTCTGTACTTCTCTCCATTGTTGTTGCATTGCCCTCAATGCTTTTTTTCCATTACTATTTTTTTACCAAGCCCCATGAGAAGGCCGCTTGTCCTCTCCCTGTGTCATGGTTACTGCCTTTTTTTTAACAGAATGTTTCGTTTTTCCCCTATTTTTCTCCACTCATGATGTCAAACCAGGACGAGCGCTACTTTGTGCGTGACACTAAGGAGCGCCTGGATGTGAATGTGGGGCTGTCCAACTCCTTTGGCTTTGGCGGGCATAACTCGTCAATCCTCTTTGCGCCGTACCACCCAGAGGGAATCCATGCACTTGTGGCGGAGCGCAATGCTCAACGCACAAGTTGAGTTGAGCTCATTCGGTGCAAATGAGGGTTAGCAGCACCAAGCGATGGCAAGTCGCCTAATCGGGTTCCCTCTATCAACAGCTGCACCTGCACGTAACATCAATTGCCTACCTGAGATGTTTTCCTCTACGACCTCTCCTCAAATCCCACCCAACTCAGACTCAGTATGTTTCCCGAGTCATGTCAACTTCATTGTATTGTCCTCCTAATAGAGGAGGTTGAGTGTAAGATTGTTCGAATTTACTGTAGTATTATTACAGCCAATTTGAGGTCTTACAATCAGGGAGAATATTTGACCTGTAAATTGACGTGCGTTTTGTCGGTGGGGCCTGGAGCAAAAACGAAGCTTCTCCGAGTCCGACACCCGACTGTGTTGTGCGATTTGTCGTCGCATCCGACCAATCGCGAGTGAAGCGAGTCAGTACCTTAATCTGGCCGTTCATTTCTTCCAAAAAGTCGCCCTTCCAGGCACTCTGGTCTGGTCCCAGGGCGAGCTGGTCAGCAGTTGCATCACCCCGCGCAAGGTTTCCGCGCGCGTCTGGCGGGACAGAAGGGCACGGCTGGCGCGCACACACAACAACAGCACGGCGCGGCATGCAAGCAGTCAGTTGCCTTCGCGGAACTGGCCCGCCACCCCACTTCACCAACCTCGGAACTCCGGAGGGAGTTGTATCATGAAACAAAAACAAAACAAGAGGCGACGAGATCGTCTTAGGGTTGCGGAGCATTTCATGATGAGACTTTATTATACATAAAATGTTTTATTTCCATCACAAAAAGCATTTAATTTTTATTTCACAAACTTGAAAAAAAAACCAGCCCGATCGATTGCAATAGGTTGCTCCGCAACCCAAAAAACCAGCTTCAAGATTGTCAACGGGCTCCTAGTTACGCCATCGAGAGTCCCAGGATAGAGATCATACAACCACGAGTATTGCCGCACCTTCGATCCACGTCAGTGCTAGTTTAGCAGACTAGACGAGCGAGCTTCCGCCTATTCGTCCTGCAAATACCCGAGAGTTGTCGATACTGTGAGGAAAGGTACCCTATCGCTTCCGTGGTGATTTCGTCGTGGCGAAAACCGCTCAGGCCGTGTTTGCCAATTCCTCTAGTCTCAGCGCATTACATCGTTTAGGAACTATTAAACGATCCCCAATCCGCTGCGTCCAATTCGTCGTGTCGCGACTTTTAACGTTAATCGCACGCTCCTAGCGGACTAGTCAAAATGCGTAGAATGGATTTAATCAGACCACTATTCGCCTCATTCTAGTAAAATTGACCTCGCGACATGCCGATCAGGAACGTTCTGCTATTGATTCGACTTATGGGGCCTTAATTCAGATCAATACTCGGCCTTATCCTAGTGGATTTGACCTAGTGTCACGCCGATCAGGATCGTGTCGTGAGACCCTTCGAACAGCTCAACGCGATGCAGAATTCAACGGTAGCTTGCATCGGGTGAACTTTTGAGTTGACTCAGAAGTCAACGGCCACGCGATGCATATCCTCAACGGTAGGATGCCTCGGGTGAACTTCTGAGTTGTAGACAAAAGTCAACATTTCTGGCTAAGCACGATGCAGATCGTCAACGGCAGGCTGCGTCGGGTGAACTTCTGAGTTGTAGACAGAAGTCAACATTTGAGTCGACTCAAGAGTCAATAGTTTCGCTAAGCAAGATGCAGATCGTAAACGGTAGTTTGCCTCGGGTGAAGCGGCGGAGCAAGCCGGCGAGTTCCTCGGAGCGGCTATGGACGCTGATGGTCATTTGTGGGACCATGCTCTTCTTCGTCTTCCTCCTCATCCTCTCAGGTGCCGATCTCTTCTTCTTAGACCTCAAATTCCTCCCCTGCGCGTGACGATTTGTGAGAGGCTCTTGAGGCGCCTCAAAAAGAGGCGGAGCAAGCCGGCGAGTCCCTTGGAGCGGCTATGGACCATAATGGCCATCGCTGGGACCGTGCTCTTCTTCGCCTTCCTCCTCATCCTCTCAGGTGCTCCTCGCTTCCTCCTCTTCCTCCTCTTCCTCCTAGGTGCTCCGCCTCAAAATCTTCTTTGAACCCAATTACCCACACCCGCTACCCCCCTCCCCCTCCCCCTCCCCCTCCTTTCCCGCTCCCCTTCTCCAGGCACTTTCCCCAAGAGCGAGCAGACAGCGCCAGTGGAGGTGGGAACTGCACCGGACAGTGCGCACCAGCACACAGCCGATGCAGACAGCTAGAAAGCCTACGTGACTGTAGCGCCGATTAGAAATCCTCCATGAACTCCCACCCACACCCACACCCACACCCACACCCACACCCCCCTTTCCCCTCCACCCTCCCCCGATTTACTTCCCGCTCCCCTTTCCCAGGCACGTCGCCCAAGAGCGAGCAGACAGCACCAGTGCTGGAGGTGGGAACAGCTCCGGACAGTGCGCACCAGCACATAGCCGATGCAGACGATCAGGGAACCAGTAGCGGAAGCCACGACGGGAGGGAGCAGGCGGCTCCTTCTGGCGGGCAGCTCCAGAATTTTTCAGGTAGATTCTTTTCTTGACCGTGATTCACCCATGTTTTCTGTGCCCGTTTCGTGCCCCATAGTCAGCCCTGCTAGTTGCTGCCGTGTTAAGCACCGTGCTTCTGGTTAGATGGTGCAGTGCAGGAGCCCAGTGAGTGTTTTTCTCAGCTCAATGAGTGCTTGTCCTTCGCACAGTGTGCTCGCAGACTGAGACAAAGCATTTCTGCCGTGCCGTGTTGCTGTTTACTCCGAGTCCAGAGGACCTCTGTGAGAGATTTTCCCCACCCTCTACCCCCCACCCTCACCACCCCCCTCCTCTCCACCACAGGCGTGATGGCCAGCATGCTGAGAAGCAACGAGCCCTTCACTCTGTTTTGCTTCTGACCATTTCACGCTTCCTGCTTTGACTCTGTCTTGTGCTCTCCACCCTCCACCCTCCACCCTCCCCCCTCCCCCCTCCCCCACAGGCGTGATGGCGAGCATGCTGAGCAGCAACGAGCCATTCACGCTGTTTGCACCCACAGACGAGTTTTTTCTGGACATCAGCAGCACATTCCACAAGTACCCTAGAACAAAAGAGATGGTGAGTTGGCTGTTGTATCTTAACCTTCCTCCAGTATAACGCTGCATGGCTGCTGCTGACGTCTTGTCGTGAAACCCTCTCTCTCGCCCTCCCTCCTCCTCCTGCCTCCCCCCTCTCCCTCCTCCCCACTCCGCAGGTTGACCCCATGCAAAGTCATGCTGTGAGATATTCAGCCGTCTCTCACCGCATGGCTGCTGCTGACGTGGTGTTGCAACCCCTCCTTCTCTCCCCTCCCCCCCCTCCCCATCGCCTCCCTCCCCCACACCTAGGTTGACCCCATGTTGAGCCGAGCCATGGGCTATGCAGCCGTCCCTTACCGCATGGCTGCTGCTGACGTGCTGTTGCAACCCCCCCCTCCACCCCTTCCCCCCCCCCTTCCACCCCTCCTCTTCCCCTCTTCCCCATCGCCTCCCCCCCCCACACCTAGGTTGATCCCATGTTGAGCTGAGCCGTGGGCTATGCAGCCGTCCCTTACCGCATGGCTGCTGCTGACATCTTGTTGTGAAATCCCCCCACCTGCTTCCCCCCCCTCTATCCCACCCCCACCCCCACCCCCCTCTCCTCCCCCCACACTGTAGGTTGACCCCATGCTAAGTCGAGCAGTGAACGCAGCCGTGCCTTGCCGCGTGGCTGCAGTTAGCATGATCAGACGCCCCTTTCCTCTTCTTCCCTCCCCTCTCCCTTGCCTCTCCATTCAAGGTTGACCCCATGCTAGGTCGAGCATGGGGCTATGCAGTCGTGCCTCGCCTCATGGCTGCTGCTAACGTGCCCTTGAACCGCGCGTATGCTCTCTCACTTCCTTCCCCACTTCCCCTGTCTCCCCTCACTTTTTTGGTGAAACCACAGGTTGACCCACCGCTAGTGGGGTATGCAGTCGTGCCTCGCTGCATGGCTGCAGCTGCTGTGCTCAGACGCCCCTTTCCTCCTCTTCCCTCCCCTCTCCCTTGCCTCTCCATTCAAGGTTGACCCCATGCTAGGTCGAGCATGGGGCTATGCAGTCGTGCCTCGCCTCATGGCTGCTGCTAACGTGCCCACCACGCGTATGCTCTCTCACTTCCTTCCCCACTTCCCCTGTATCCCCTCACTTTTTCGGTGAAACCACAGGTTGACCCACCGCTAGTGGGGTATGCAGTCGTGCCTCGCTGCATGGCTGCAGCTGCTGTGCTCAGACGCCCCTTTCCACCACTTCCCTCCCCTCTCCCTTGCCTCTCCATTCAAGGTTGACCCCATGCTAGGTCGAGCATGGGGCTATGCAGTCGTGCCTCGCCTCATGGCTGCTGCTAACGTGCCCTTGAACCACGCGTATGCTCTCTCACTTCCTTCCCCACTTCCCCTGTCTCCCCTCACTTTTTCGGTGAAACCACAGGTTGACCCACCGCTAGTGGGGTATGCAGTCGTGCCTCGCTGCATGGCTGCAGCTGCTGTGCTCAGACGCCCCTTCCTCCTCTTCCCTCCCCTCTCCCTTGCTCCTCCACTCAAGGTTGACCCCATGCTAGGTCGTGCCGTGGGGTATGCAGCTGTGCCTCGCGGCATGGCTGCAGCTGACGCCCCTCTGATGATTCTTTCTTCCTCTCCTCTCTCCCTTACTTCCTCTCCTCTCTCCCTCCCTTTAAGGTTGACCCCATGCTAAGTCGAGCCGTGGGGTATGCGTCCGTGCCTCGCCGAATGGCTGCGGCTGACGTGCCTCTAGGGGCGTTTGAGCGGCTGGAGTCAATCTCGGGGTTCATAATTAACGTGGGGAGGGACCCGCGCACCGGCAGGATCTTCGCCAACGGTGTACCCAGCAAGCAGGTGAGCTGGGTGAATCTTGATGTACCATCTGAGGCCTGGAGGCCAGTGAGAGGGGGCGTTTGAGCGGCTGGAGTCGATCTCGAGGTTCATAATCAATGTGGGGAGGGACCCGCGCACTGGAAGGACATTTGCCAACGGCGTCCCAAGCAATCAGGTGAGCTGCTGCTGGTGGAATCTAGATGTGCTAGCTGAGGCCCAGTAGTCTGTGAGGGAGGGCATGACTTACACGAGGGCCAGATGGTGGTGCACCTGATAGACGGCATGCTAGGCCCGCTCGACTTTGTTCCTTCCCCCCCCCCTCTCTGTCTTTTAATCTCTCGATGGACAGGTGGACATACACGAGGGCCAGATGGTGGTCCACCTCATCGACGGCATGCTAGGCCCACTCGACTTTGTTCCTTCCCCCCCCCCCTCTCTTTCTTTTAATCTCTCGATGGACAGGTGGACATACACGAGGGCCAGATGGTGGTGCACCTCATCGACGGCATGCTAGGCCCGCTCGACTTTGTTCCTTCCCCCCCCCCTCTGTTTCTTTTAATCTCTCGATGGACAGGTGGACATACACGAGGGCCAGATGGTGGTGCACCTGATCGACGGCATGCTAGGCCCGCTCGACTTTGTTCCTTCCCCCCCCCCTCTCTTTCTTTTAATCTCTCGATGGACAGGTGGACATACACGAGGGCCAGATGGTGGTGCACCTCATCGACGGCATGCTAGGCCCGCTCGATTTCGTCGAATCGGTGCGCAGCATGGACCCTGATGACGTCAGCATGGAGGCCGCCCTAGAGCAGGAGTTCAACTCGGGGGCGTTTGTGAGGGGCAGTGAGAGCAGCGGGGGAGGGGGCGGGGGAGGGGAAGCGGGAGGAGGAGGAAGTGGTGTGGGGGAGGGGCATGGTACAGGACAGGGAGAGCAGAAGCTGCAGCAGGAGGGGCAGCAGCAGGGGCAGCAGCAGGAGCAGCAGCAGGATGATCGAGAAGAGAAGCAGGGTATATCAGAAGAGAAAGTGGTGGATCTGACTGCTGCTGTTGCTGCCTCCGCTGCTGCTGCTGCTGCTGTCGGCCTTGGTGGGGGGGGTGGAGGAGGAGAGGGGGGTGCAGGTGAACAGGGCTTGGAGCAGCAGGGCGTGATAACGGGAACAGAAGCGGGTCACTCTATAGAGGGACAAGGAGAAACGCTAAGTGCTGCTGGGAATGCAACAGCAGGAGGGCAGGGGGTTGACAACAAGGAAGGTGATAACAGCGGGAGCTCCAGCAGCAGCAGCAGTGGGAAGCCAGGCCCCAGTCTTGACAGTGATGATCGGAACAGGGACGAGTTTGTGCATGAAGGGAACGAGCTTCTAGAGGCAAACGAGGCAGACAATATCGAGGAAGAAGCCGGGGAGGAGGGGCCTGGGGGAGAGGGGGCGGGGGGAGGGGGGGAAGGGGGAGCAGGAGGGGCAGCAGGGGCTGGTACGGGGGGGAATAGCACAGGGTCTAAAGCGGTCACTGCTGGGTTTGGTTGGAAGAGGCTCTATGCGGGGCTGCCAGGGGTGGTGCTTTGGCAAAAGCAGAATACAACTGGGGCGGATGGGGGAGGGGGAGGGGGAGGGGGAGGGGGAGGGGGAGGGGGAGCGGGAGGCAGTGGTGGGGGTAGTGGGGGGAACGGGGAGGGCGGGGGTGCAGGGAGTGCTGGGCCCGGGAGTGGGTTTCAGTGGTTTGGGTTCGGAAAGGGGGGCGCAGGTTCCAAGAAGGAGCCGGAGGAAGACCCTGTGGATAATCTGCCGGTGCTAAGGCCAGAAGTGATTGCTCTGGAGCAGGTGAGACAGAAAGGGGTTCAGGTTCGGATTCGGGTTAACGTTTGAGTCGATTCAAAAGCGGGAGAAAGATCCCTTGGACAACCTGCTGGTGCTAAGGCCAGAAGAGGTTGCTCTGGATCAGGGAGGACGGGGAGGTGTAAGATATAGGGGCCTTTCTTTTGAGTCGAGCCACGTGCGGAGGTGCTCGTTCCTGCTCCAGAATATATCAGTGCTAAGGGATAGCTCTCTAGAGCAGGTGGGACGGGGTTTATGGTTCAGGGGTTAATGCGGGAAGGGCAGGGCAGGATGTAGGGTTTCTCTCTGGTCACCACGCCTCACAGGCTCGATCGATGCTGCTGCTAACTATCAGCGCCTGGGCTGAAGCAGGGGGGGAGGGGATCTAGAAGCTAGCGATTGAGAATTCGAGGTTTGGTACCTGAAGTGCTTAGGAGAGGGTGGGGTTTCGGGTATGGATGTGGGGTATCTGTTCCCCTGTGTTGCCCCTGGTGATGTTGCCTCTGGTGATGTTGCCTCTGGTGATTTTGCCTCTGCCTTGGCCTTTCATCCACCAGGTGCGAGAAGAGGAGAAGGCAAAGCCTGGAGTGGAGGTGGATTTCAGAGGAGCACGCAAGGGCGCATGTGAGCGGTGGGATCGGGAGGGGGAGGGGGGTGAGCGTCTCTGGTTTGTTGCGTGGTCTGGCTGAGAGGGAAGTGATGCTTTCCGTATTGCAAGCCTGCAGGGAAAGCCTCTTGGCCGTTACCTAGGCAGGCACCACCCACCCATTGCTGCTGGTTTCAAAGTAGGCTGACTGCAGGTTTTCTACTGTCGTATGTCTTTTCACCTCCCCAGGATTCCTGCTCCATTTGCTCTCACTGCATTCCTCCTTTCTCTCACAGCCATGCTGGAGGTGGTTTCCTCTGCCACGTCCTATTCTCCCAATGGTGTGGGTCCCATAAAGCTACTGTGTCTAGGGGCCAGGCTGCAGCTTCTGCTATCTCACGCCCTTCCTCCTCGTCCTATCTCCTCTTTCCCCCCTTCCTTCCCCCGCCCCAGCCATTATCGAGGTGCCTCCCCCTGTGGACCCCTCCAAGCTACCGTGTCTTGGCAGGGGCAGGGTGCAGGCGGATGGCAAGTGCCTGTGCTCCGTGCTCTATGGGGGCGACAACTGCGAGGTATGCTGACTGGTGCCTGTGACAAGTGTGACTGTAACGGAGGTGGCAGGGGCACCTTTAGAAGGAACAACATGAGCTACAGTGTCTAGGAAGAGGCAGACTGCAGCAGCGCGGCAAGTGCCTGTGCTCCGTGCTCTATGGGGGTGTCTGACAGCTGCGGGGTAAGCTGAATGGTGCTGATAACTGGTGTGACTGTGACGAAAGTGGCACCTGTCTGTAAGTGACTGTGACTGAATGGTGGTACAGTATGAGTTACCATGCCCAGGGGATGGGTGTGCTGCAGGCGGGCGACAATGCCCCGTGGTCTACAGGGGTGATGTGAGGTACGCTGATAGGTGCCTGTAACAAGTGTGTCTGTAGCGAAAGTGGCACTTGTGATAAAGTTCTAGGTGTGGGCAACACTGGTAAGCCGACAGTAGACCGCTACGTGGAAAGGTGATGGGGACGCCACACCTCTCTGGCTCTTTGCTTCCTCTCTGCTCTTCTTCCTTGTAACAGGAAACCCGCAAACACCTACAAGCTAACAGCCAATCCGTACGTTGGAAGCTATCTCCTCACACTGCAAGCACTGATGTGATGGCAGAGACTCCCCGTTGCCCTTCGTCCTTTGTGTACCACTGTCTTGCCTGATAACAGGAGACACGCAACACCGACAAGCTGACAGTAGACCCCTACGTGGGCAGCTACCTGCTCACAGCGCAGGCACTGATGGCTCCACCACCGCCAGGGGCGGGGGATCAGGGGGGGAGTGGAGGGGGAGGAGGGGGATCCGCCGGGCGATCTGCCATGCTGCTGGAAGGGCTGTCGATTGAGGAGCGGAGGGAGCTGAGAGCCGTCCTGCCGTTGAATGACATCTACCAGACCACGGTGAGTGCATGAGATCTTGTATTATGCCTCAAGTGTGAGCACAGGGGGAGCAGGGGGGCAGTGGAGGGGGAGGGGGGGGGGGTGCGCTGGGAGGTCTGCCTTGCTGCTGGAAGGGTGTCAATTGAAGAGAGGCGGGAGCTTAGGGCCGTTCTGCCGTTAAATGACGTCTACCAGACCACAGTGAGTGCACTACGAGCTCGAATTAAACCTCAGATGTGAGAACAGGGGGCACCGGAGGGGGAGGGGGGGGGATCCGCAGGACGACCTGCCATGGTGCTGAGTGGAAGTCAGGGAAGGGGTGTCGATCGAGGAGAGGAGGTCTTCCCTCCTTGCCCATCCGTTTTCCATCCTAACTTTCCAAATCCCGTCGCTTTGCCTCTCCTTCCCACAAACACCAGGTGTGGGACTCGTGTGCCGTGGTGGGAAATTCGGGCTCGCTGCTTCTGAGAGAGGATGGGGAGGAGATAGACAAGCACGACATGGTTATGCGCTTTAACACGGCGCCCACCAAGGGATACGAGAGGCAGGTGGGTGCAAGCGACACTAGAGTCGTCTAAATAAGAGGAGGAGGAGATTGACAAGCACGACATGGTTATACGCTTCAACACAGGGTCCTCTAAAGGATAAGAGAAGCAGGTGGGTGGAGTTGATACGTGTGACTAGCATTACACGATAAAGGATGGGAAGGAGATTGGCAATCACTACGTGGTTATACGCTTTAACACAGCGCCCACTAAGGGATACAAGAAGCAGGTGGGTGGAGTTGATTCTTGCAACATCTTGAAAGAAGAGGGCGGAGAGGAGGATATGCTTATGTGCCTTGACACTGCGGTTGATAAATGGTACGACAGCAGGTGGTTGAATTGAAAGTGATAGTGCATATGTGCTTTGACAAAGGATACGTCAGCATGTGAGTTGGTGTGCAGGTATGCAGGTGTGCTTTGCTTATGTGCTTATGTGCTTTCACGGCGGGTGATAAAGGATACGACAGCAGATGGTTGAAAGTGAGAGTGCGTATTCGTGTCAATGTACCCGAGGTGCCTGCCTCACAATAGCAACCCAGCAACCCGGCCCACCTTGTTCGAACACCTAACCTTGTTGTCAGGTGAAGAGGTGTTAACCTTGCCTCAATATCCCAGACAAGGCGGGGTTCAGAGTTGATGTTTGAGTCGACTCACTAGCCTCGAGACACCTCTCTCAGTCCAGCAACCCGGCCCACCTTGTTCTAACTTCTAACCTTGTCGTCAGGTGAAGAGGTGTTAACCATTGCCTCAATATCCCAGACAAGGCGGGGTTCTGTGAGAGAGGGCAATGAGACGGTGGTATACCACCTGTTCCTGAAGCCACCACCAACCAGCCAACACACCCCCACCCCCCTCTCCCATCCGCTTCCCCAACCTTTCGCCTGAGGGTTCCAGACAAGGCGGGGTTCACAGAGGGCAAATACCCCTTCATGCGCACCCTGCTCATCTTTCCCCCTTCAATCCCCCCTCCATACCCCCCCTCCTCCCCCCTGCAGGTGGGGAAGAAGACCACCTTTCGCCTGAGTGTCCCTGACAAAGCAGGATTCAGAGAGGGCAACGAGACGGTGGTATACCACCTGTACCTGAGGGGCGTCAAGACGGAGCTGGAGCATCTACTCAAGTTCAAACGCGTCTTCAGAGAAGGGCCGCTCTATGTGCTGGACCTGGGGTTCGAGTCTCAGGTGCGTATGTGAAGTGAATCGACACGTGGGTTTCGGGTTTCGGGTGAATCGACACGAGGTTTTCGGGCCTCGGGTCTAGGGTTTAAGGTGAATCAACGCGTAGGTATAGAGTCTTCTCTTGATTCCTCGCATCATCAGTCAACACAGAGACCTCGCAACACCTTCGTTCATGATTTTTCACAATTTCTCACGAATTATCTCGTTGTTTCTCAATAATTCTCTCACTATTTCTCACTAATTCTCTCACTATTTCTCACTCTCTTACTATTTCTCCCACTGATTCTCTCTCTTTTCTCTCTCCATTTTCCCCCGCGCCAACAACTCTCTCTGCAGATCTTCAACACCTTTGGCGCCTTCACGTCCGTGGGATACGTGGGGATTCAGTTCGCCCTGCAGGTACGGTCTGGTTGAAACCTACGTGACCGCAAACGCGTTTAGCGTTTTAAACGCATCGTTTAAACGCTAGCGTTTAAACGCTAAACGCTGCTGCTTGAGTTTCTAAACGCTAAGGTAAACGCACTCTCGGGCAGCCGGAAAAAGATTTCCGGGCAGGGTAAAAAAACCTGGGATAGGTAGGGGGAGGCAAGGGGATTATGGTTGACAACATTTTCCCTCCAAATTATATCACATAAAAAAAAATTGGCATGTCAAATCCACATGTCAACGACAACCACATGTACTACCTACTACCACCCTCTAATCAACAGCACCCTCCGTCTTCCTTCCTCCACCCTCCTACCCAAAAGCCCCCCATGCTTCTTAACCGCCGCCGCCACTCCCTCATCTCCTCCTACTCCTCCTCCTCCTCCTCCCCATACTCGTCCTCGAGCACGGGCTCATCTCCATACTCATCCTCCTCTAACTGCCCCTCCTCATCGACGTTGTATCCTTTTGGAATGGGAGCATCCGGGATGTTCCCCGCAAGAACCGCCCTAGTCTCCTCGCTGGTTTTGTGCCAGTTGCGCACAACGTTCCAGTTGTGCGCAACAAACACCAAGTCCCGGCACTTCTCGGGCCCGAGACGGTTGCGGCGTGCAGTGTGCACCGATTCCCACACTGCCCACCCGCGCTCGCAGCTGGATGCAGACACCGGCTGCGTGAGCACACGACACGCGAGCTCTGCCAGCTCGGGGTGGTCGGTCCCGTGCCAGGTCCACCAGTCCTCCATACTTAGACTCCCCTCCTTCACTTTCTGCCGCTGCATTATTGCGTCGGGTTTGCCGAAGGAACCCCTCAGCTTCAGGAATGCAGTCACTCCCTCCTGCAGTACCACTACCGCACTCTTCTCCTTTGCCTCCTTACGATCGATGGTGATGGTGCTGCTGTATCGGCCAATGAACTCCTTAAACAGGTCGGTGCACTCCTTGTCGGGGCCAAAGATCTTAGCAACCTGGTTGGCCGGGTTGAGGATCCGGCCAACAGCATGCAGTGGGCAAGCCATGCTGACGTCCCACCGATGCTGGATGATCTCCCCAATCCCCTCCTTATCCTCCGGCGTCAGCTGCAAGTCTTCCTTCTTCAACAGATCAGTCACGTCCACAGTGAGTTTGAGCATGAGCTCATAAATCTGCCCCATCATCCCCTTGGCCGAGGAGTCAGTCGACCGCATCTCAAGGTAAGGCAGTTTCAACAGCTTGACAAAGAACTCAGCTGCTGCCCACCAAGCCTGGTTAAGCACAATGCTCTGGATGGAATCGGCCGCTGCCTTCTGCTTCCCTACGGCCCACGCCTTCCACGTTTCGCCTGCCACCAACACAGTCAGCTTCCCGTGGAGGTCTACAAGCCTCGACACTGCAATGTACTGGGTTCCGAACCGGGTGCCCGCTGGCTTCAACAGCTGCAGCACCTTGCCCCTCAGCTCCCCTGGCTCGCGCAAGAAGTTCCTCGTCCAGTGGTGATTGCGGACGTAATTTATCACCTCGTTCGCACCCTCAACCACCCTCTTCGCCCACGCCTGCTTTCCCACGTCTTCCATGAGCAGGTCTAGGACATGAGTGGCGCACGGCACATGCTCAATGTGCGGCCACTCCTCCCTCAACACCTTGCAGGCCTTGCCGTAGTTACTCCCCCCATCCGTGCATAGCGCCACCACATTCGCAGGCGCGATTTTCTGGATGATAGGGCGGAGGATGCCGGCAATGTACCCGCCTGTCTTCGTCTCCATGCGGCAGTCAATGCAGTCGGCAAACATGGCGCCGAAGTCATTGACTAACATGACGTTCGCTTGCGGCCTCCCGCACCGGTCTGTCATCATGTCTGAAGCCACGGTGACGCCATGCCTCTCCCAATTCTGTTTGAGTGCATCAAGGGCGAGTTCGATGCGGGTGCGACACTCCTTCAACCCCGCTCCTCCAATGTACGTGCGTTTGGGCGGCACGTACGTTGTTCCCGCACGAGCGACCGCATGCACGGCATCGACGAAGAGTGGGTGGTCGGCATGACGTTCTGGGATGCGGAGGGCTGCAAACATGAGGCACAATGCCGCATCCGCCTCACGCTTAGCACATGCCGCGCCGTTGCTGAAATACGTAGTTATCTTGCCCCGCTTTCCCCCTCCCCCCACGGCCTCCACCGCATCCGCGACCTCCTTACGCTTCTGGGCCTTGACAGACGCCTTCCCTTCGTATAGTGCCTGCATTGCCTCCCTCACCTCCTTTGGCGCCGAGGGACATTCCTTGACCTCCCGCCGCCCCTGTCCTTCCCACTCCGCGAAATGCATAGCGCACCGGTTGGGAATGCCTACAAAAGACAGCCCGCAATAACGACATTCCACCCTAGCTGTGGCGACCCCGGCCTCCTTAACTCTAACTTTGTAATGCTTGTAAACATCATGATTAGACTCTGCCTCGTAAATATTTGACGCTGCAGACGCTGTAGGATTAGCGTCTGCAGCACCATTAGGGGGGGTCGACATGGGCGTGGGCCCTTAACTTAGCGCGAAATTAGGTGGCAAGGGTGAGTGGGCGTGGGAGATGAGAGAATGACGACTAAATCTGATCTACGGCTATGTCGCGCGGAACTCTAGGGTTCCCGTTTCTCATGGGGAAGAGATTGTGATGGAAGAAGGGGAGAAAGTGGTTAGGTTGGAGTGGCCGTAGATGAACAGGGTGCTGTGCGGTTGAGCGGGGCAAAAGAATTGGATGCGTTTTTTGGTCGCTAGGTTGGGATTTGCGACTTGGCGAATGTCTAGTTGAATTCGCCAGGTCGCAATGTCGCGAAAAAAATTTGGTCGATTTTTTCGTCGGGCTGCCCCTAAAATTTTACCCGAGCGTTTAGCGTTTTACCACGCGTTTAGCGTTTAGCGTTTAAACGCTAAACGCTGCCCCGCCAGAGCGTTTGCGGTCACGTAGGTTGAAACTGGCTCAACGCCCTTTCATGCTCTCAATAGACAAGTGGTGCCTGCCTGCACTACACCACCGCTGTAGGATGCCACGTGTGGGATACGTGGGGATTCAGTTCGTGCTGCGACTAGCTGATCGTCCTTTCATGCTCTGAAGAGGCAAGTGCTGCCTTGCCTGCACCACTGCTGTAGAATCCCATCTGCGAGATACGTGGGGATTCAGTTCGCCCTGCGACTGGTTGAACGTCCTTTCGTGCTTTGAAGAGGCAAGTGGTGCCTGCAGTTTGCCCATCTGTGGGATACGTGGGGGGGATGCAGTATGCCCTGCAGGTACGGTCTGACTGCAGGTCAGGTGTGGTCTGGTTGAACATTGGACCTTTCCAGTTTCCTTAAGAGGGCGTTGGTTGGACTTCCTTTCCAGTTTCCTGAGGTGGGCGAGTACCTCTCAGCCATCCTGCAGAATTGCAGCTCCACATTGACCTCTACAGTAGAATCTGATCTGATTTGTTCTCTCTCAACGTCCCCGCCCCTCCTTCCCTGACCCACAGAAGTGCCACCACATCGACCTGTATGGTTCCATTCTTAGCGAGCGGCACGGCGCGCGGCACCACTAGTTCAACAGGGGCGAGCACATGCCAGTCTACCACTTTTGCTTGTTCTCTCTCTAATGCTTTCCCGTCCACCCTATGCAGAAGTGCCACCACATCGACTTGTACGGTTTCTTTCTAAGCGAGGGGCACGGCGTGCGGCACCACTACTACAATAAAGACGAGCAGAAGCCGTCCCACGTGACGGGCGAGCAGCTCGACCGGGAGTTCGTGCAGAGCATCGAGATCGCTGACACTGAACTCATGTGGATTGCTGACCCGTGCCTCTACGGTGAGTGCTAATGGGGGGGGGTTATGACTGGCTGGGGTTCAGAGGGACGGTGGTAATGGAAAGGTGGAATGGGGAGGGCTCAACTGGGGATTTGTGGAGAGCATCGAAGTTGCAGATGATGCTGCGCTCACGTGGATCGCAAATGATGCTGCGCTCACGTGGATGGCAGATGATGCTGCGCTCACGTGGATAGCAGATGATGCTGCGCTCACGTGGATGGCAGATGATGCTGCGCTCACGTGGATGGTAGATGATGCTGCGCTCACGTGGATGGCAGATGATGCTGCGCTCACGTGGATGGCAGATGATGCTGAGCTCACGTGGATGGCAGATGATGCTGCGCTCACGTGGATGGCAGATGATGCTGCGCTCACGTGGATGGCAGATGATGCTGCGCTCACGTGGATGGCAGATGATGCTGCGCTCACGTGGATGGCAGATGATGCTGCGCTCACGTGGATGGCAGATGATGCTGCGCTCACGTGGATGGCAGATGATGCTGCGCTCACGTGGATGGCAGATGATGCTGAGCTCACGTGGATCGCTGGCCCGTTCCCAGCCAGCCACCCTACTTGTTTCCCTTGCCCCTTCCTTCCCCCAACCCTTGCCCCTTCCTTCCCCCAACCCTTGCCCCTTCCTTCCCCCAACCCTTGCCCCTTCCTTCCCCAACCCTTGCCCCTTCCTTCCCCCAACCCTTGCCCCTTCCTTCCCCCAACCCTTGCCCCTTCCTTCCCCCAACCCTTGCCCCTTCCTTTCCCCAACCCTTGCCCCTTCCTTCCCCCAACCCTTGCCCCTTCCTTCCCCCAACCCTTGCCCCTTCCTTCCCCCAACCCTTGCCCCTTCCTTCCCCCAACTTCTGCCTCTGCCTCTGCCTCTGTTTCCCACAGATTGCCGGCGCTCCATCCAGCGCTGCAGCATGTGCATGAGGATATCAGTGGACGAGCTGAGCCAGAAGACAGGTGCGTTTGGTGAAGGTAAATCTGGTGCAGGTTGTCCCATACTTACGCTCCATCCAGTGCTGCAGCATGTGCATGCGGATATCAGTGGACGAGCTCAGCCTGAAGACAGGTGCGCTTGGTGAAGGTAGATCTGGTGCAGGTTGTCCCATACTTACGCTCCATCCAGTGCTGCAGCATGTGCTTGCGGATATCAGTGGACGAGCACAGCCAGAAGACAGGTGTGCTTGGTGAAGGTAGATCTGGTGCAGGTTGTCCCATACTTACGCTCCATCCAGTGCTGCAGCATGTGCATGCGGTTATCAGTGGACGAGCTCAGCCTGAAGACAGGTGGGAGGGTGTGGGTATGGAGTATGGTGCAGGTGGATATGGTGCAGGTGGGTATGGTGCAGGTGGGTATGGTGCAGGTGGGTATGGTGCAGGTGGGTATGGTGGGTAGAGCCCATTGCAGGTGGTGCAGATGAATATGCTGCATTAAAGGCTGCAGCATGTGCATGAGGATGCCAGTGGACGAGCTGAGCCAGAAGACAGGTGGGTGGGTGTGAGCCTCAGGTGGGTGAGTAAAGGAGTCACCATACAATCACTCATCCAGTGATGCTGCATGCCCATGAGGGTCAGAGGGGACGAGCTGAGCCTGAAGACGGGTGGGTGTGATCTAGTGCAGGTGCATGTGGCCAGTAATGCACCCAAGGATGCACCATGGCCAGTGTGCATAAGGCTCGCAGTAGACGAGCAGAGCCAGAAGACAGGTTCGCTCGGTGAATGTAGATATGGTGCGGTGTGAAGGTAACCATAGTGCAGTGTGAGGGACGAGCTCAAGAAGGGCGCTACACACCCCCCACCCCCTCTGTCCTACCCCCTTCCTCCCCTCCCCTTCCCCATGCAGAGTGGTCGACCCAGCAGCTGGCCTTGAACGCGCGCAGGGAGCAGCGGTGGCGGGAGTTTCTCAAGTGGGAGAACATAGTGCGGGACGAGCTCAAGAAGAGCGTGCGGCTGCAGTTCCAAATGCAGGCGGAGCAGCGACGGATGAGGAACTCTGGCTCCCGCACGGATGGGGTTTTGGGGGAGGGTAAGGGTGGGGGGAGAGGAGGGGGAGACGGGGGAGGAGCAGGAGGAGGAGGGGGAGGAGGAGGGGGAGGGGAGCGGGAGGAGGAAAAGGGGTGGGAGGCGGGAGTGGGGGTGGAGGAGGGGAGGTGAGGGGGATGCAGGGGGAGAGTGAGGATGAGTATGATAGCATTGACTGGGAGCGGGTGGTGGTTGAAGACATGTTAGATAAGCTATCGATGCACGAGGTGTTACTGTACTTTAGAAGAAACCACCTCACTATCCCGGACACGCGGGCGCAGATGCTTCAGGCGGTGAAGGCGCATTATTTCTTCCTGAGAGGGGAGTTGCAGAAGCAGAAGAACAGGCTGTATCGGCCGTCAGACTGACAGGCCTGGCCTCATGCTTTCCCCTTTCAGTGTTCCCTTTTGTGATTGTAGTATTGTGGTGAGTGTAGCAGTTTTTTTTGTTTCTTGCCCCCAGCTGTTTGTGAGTGGGAAGTATTTAGATTGTATTCTCCAAATGTGAATCCTCTTAAAGTGGGGCATGTTCCAGCCAAGTATTGTGAAAGCTTGCTTGGGTCATGGCAAAGGCAGCGTGCTTCATTTCATATGGGATTGCATACATGGTTCTCGTCCAATAGACTACACCTACAAATAGGGTGGGTGGGTGGGGAAAACGAAACTGGAACTAGAAATGAAGAACGTGGGTGAGGTCGAATGGCCTCACGTCCCTCTTTTGTAGGCAAAAGAGGGTGAGTAGCGCTTCGACGCTGTCCTTGCTGCGTTGGCCCTCGCTGCACTTTCACAATACACATTTTTATAAAGCGTTACACGCTTTCAAAAAATTACATTTACCATGAGTGTTGACAAGTCTCTTCTTGAAGTGCAAATGTCAGTCCACACACAAAAAGGAAGGGCAGGTATCAGTAAGGGAGGCAGGTGGAGTGCAGTGCTGAAGCAGGGGAAGCGGGAGTGGAAGAAAGATGGAAGGAGAACGGATAGGACGGTATTAAAATTATATAAGTTATAATTAAATGTAGGCTTGGTAGGTTGTTACTGAACCTTTCTGTAGAGGGTACAAACCCCTCCTTGTACTCCTCTCTCTTCCTAATCGATTCTCTTCTTTCTCGTCAACTTCTCTCCCCCGCTCCTAGATCTACTTTCCTCACGCCATTCCATGGCGTCCTTCCTTGCTTCCTAAGTTTAGTTAGTGTCCTAAGCTTCTTTGATATGGTATCAGAGCAGGAGATCCTTCCTGCTGGACCGCCTACTCACGCTTCTCGCGCTGCCATGGCGCTCGTGTCGTGCCGCTGGCCGCGTCGTGCCGCGGCCGTCTCGACGCGCTGGCGTCGCGCTGGCGTGCTGTCGCTTCCGCCGCGCATTTCTCTCGTCACTGCCTTCCCGCCGTGGCGGCCATGCCGGCCTGTCATGGCGGCTTCGTCATGCGGCCGTCGCCTCCTCGACGCCCTGCCATGGTGGCGTCGACGCTTTGCCGTGGCAGCGTCACCTTGCTGCCGTTGCAGCGTCGGCGTGCCGCCACAGCGTCGACGCCGCGCTCTGGCGGCGTCGTCATGCTGACGCGGCAGCGTCGATGGGCGGCAGCGGGCAGCACGCCGTCGTAACCGCCACCTGCCCGCCCTCCTGCCAGTAAGCGCCGCGCCACTTATGGCGCGTCGCTGAAGACTCGCCTCGCCCCGCCCCCTCCCCTCCCCCCCCCCCACCTGCACCTGCTTCCCCTGCATCCCCCCCTTTCTTGCTGCAGCCGATGACTGCCTCATGAGGGCCCTCTCCACCGCCGAGGAGACTGGACATGCCGCCGAGAGGGCGGGGGCCGCTGCACCGGCCTCTGACGTTCAAGCCGCCGCCGCAGCCGCTGTTGCCGCGGGCCTGGTGCCGCCGCACGCCGCTGCCGCCGCCGCTGTCGTCACTGTCGCCGCTGCCGCCATTGCCATCTCACGGGCCGTGGGAGCTGCCCTCTTCCGGAGTCGTTGCGGCTCCTGCTGGGAATGGGGGTGCTGGGCTAGGGGGTGTGGGTGTGGGTGTGGGGGTGTGCGTGGGCTTGACACTACCAAGCCTAGGGGGTGTGTTAAAATTATATAAGTTATAATTTAATATAGGCTTGGTAGCAGGCCCTCAGATTGGTTTTAGGGAGGCTGATTGCTTAGGGTCGCCCATGTGAGAGCCCATGTTTTTCAGGGTCGGGTTTTTGGCGTGGCATGTTTTTTCAGGCCAATTGTTTTTTTTAGTCTGACTTATCAGGCCTACATTTTTGTAGTTTCTGATTCTTAGGTCGGATCGGACTTCACTGCGTACAATTCTTCTCGTCAGATTCCTGCATGATTTTAACTAAGGACCAATCAACCCCCTCACACCTCCTCCAGCTCGCCTCGAAGTTGCGTGTTTCTGGTTGCGTGATTCTGGTCAAGGACCAATCACGCCCCCCACACCTGTTCTAGCTCGCCTTGAAGTTCCGTGATTGTGGTCAAGGACCAATCACGCCCCTCACACCTGCTCTAACTCGCCTCGAACTTGCGTCATTTTTTTGTCAAGGACCAATCATGCCCCTCACACCTGCCCCACCTTGCCTTGAACTTGCGTGATTCTGGTCAAGGACCAGTCATGCCCCTCACACGTGCTCAAGCTCGCCTTGGCAGATAAGATTCAGATTCAGGGCGAATTTCGAGTAAGGCTGATTCGTCAGGCTCGGTAAAACAAGAACATACTATTTTTCAGGCCTTAGAAAATAGGAACACATAAATTTCAGGTTTGACAAAAATCAAAACCTGAAAAATCAGGGTATGCCCTAGAAAACACCCTGATATACAGGCTTTCGGGCCTTTTTGGCCTGACTTCTGAGGCCCTGCTTGGTAGGTTGTTACTGAACCTTTCTATAGAGGGTACAAACCCCTCCTTGTACTCCTCTCTCTTCCTAATCGATTCTCTTCTTTCTTTGTCAACTTCTCTCCCCCGCTCCTAGATCTACTTTCCTCATGCTATTCCATGGCGTCCTTCCTTGCTTCCTAGCTAAGCTAGGTTCCTAAGTTTACTTAGTGTCCTAAGCTTCTTTGATAGACGGAACAGTGGATATTTTTCTGCGTAGGAGAACACAGCACAGTAACCTGTTAGGCCCTATACCCAGTCTCCCTCACCTTGGCAATTGGGATTCGGCTCAGTTCATTCATTGCCAGCTAGAGCCAGTCCCTTCGGTTCTGAGTGTAGTTACAGCGACGGAAAGTATTGCCCGGATAATTGCCTTAAAACATTTCTCGTACTGGTTTGGTGCCTTCTTTGTTTAGTTACGAATCAAATTTCGGGGTTGGATGTAAAGTAGTACTGTACTGTATGTGACGGATGCTGGTTTCAGTTTTATAGGGGTCGATTTTTTACCGAGGACGAGATTTCGTCCGCGTGGGTGCATCCGGACAGTTTAGGCCAAGCAGCGTAGTAGATCTATTTCCTAACCTCGCTATTTCTTCTTACTTGCCCTCGCGACTATCGAGTAGTCAGGAGATAGGCTAGGACCGCTGCGATGATTAGGCCGTCATGAAACTGTTAGATGAGGCGCTCTACGCATAGATCATTCCCTTGTTGCGGAGGGGGTAGAGCAATCGTTGAATCGCTAACAGCTAGCCATAGGGAAGAGTTCGGCCCATCAAGGCGATTGTAGAGTCTAGCCGCGATGACGTGCGTCCTACGATGCCCTCAGCCGGTCGCCCTCGCTTAGTGACAGAGAGAGTTCGCCACGGCATAGTTTGGTCGATTACCCTCGAGGAGGCAGAAATCTCCGCTCACGTGGCGAAAATCGTTGAGAAGCAGCACGGCATCACGTTGCATCCTAAGACATTGCGTAACGCTTTGAATGGGAGCTGACTTGTCGCAATCAAGCATCCCAAGAAACCGCGACACTCTCGGAAAAACATACGATAGGCTGGAATGGGCGCGTGCCCACGCAGACTGGACGGTTGACGACTAGAAGCGAGTTATCTATGCGGATGAGACCAAGATCGGTCGTCTTGCATCCGACTGACTCTCATACGCCTGCGTTCACGAAGGGACTGCCCTCCAAAGACACCAAATCAAGCAGACCGTCAAACACGGGGGCGGTTGCTTGATAATTTACAACTGCATGTCGTAAAAGGGAGCGGGTTTCATGAGCAAAACATATGGTAGGGTGGACGGACTGCTCTCGCTGAGTATACTGCAGGACGATCTCAACAGTACGATTGAGCTTTACCAGCTTACACCCTCAAAAACTATCTTCCAGCACGACAACGACCCGAAGCACAAGTCGCGTATCGTATAGGAGTGGCTTTGAGAGTAAGATTCAGGGGTGCTAGAGTGGCCGTCTTCCTCACCCGACCTCAACCCAATGGAGCATTTATGGGCTCATCTCAAGAGGCAGCTGGCCAAGCCTTATAAGCCTCCCACTGGTATGCTGGACCTTTGGGAGCGGGTGCAGGTGAAATGGGAGAAGATCCTGGCGGATGTGTGCACCCACCTGGTGGAAAGCATGCCCAGGAGGGTGAGGGCGGTGTCTAAGGCGAAAGGGCGGTGTATTAGGTACTAGTTTGGGGTTGATGTGACTTGCTGCGTGCGCCTGGCAATAATTGTCCACATGTACCAAGATTGTTATTTTCTAGTATTTGTTGTAAACATCATTATACTTGTGTGATGTAAGGCATGGGCGTGGAGCCTTACCCCAACCTACATACACTAGGCACACCAGAAGATTAAGTCTTAATGTCCATGACCCCCTAAAATGGCAAAATTCCTCTAAGTCACAAACATGTGGACAATACTTTCCGTCGCTGTACATACACTCCAGTGCGGAGCACTCAGCAATAATATATGAACCACTGTTAGACATTATCATGGTACAGTAAATTCGGGTACACTGCAGCCTGCACGCGTGTAGCCTACTTGGGCATTCTAGTCCCAGTGGGAATGAGGACTCTATCCACCGCATGTGCGATGAAATAGGGTCCTGCATATATCCTCATGATCTTGATTGTCGCCCAGGTGGCTGGAGGCGCCCTTGGGCCTTTAGCGAACGACACTGTATTGGCGTTTTGAGCCGAGATCTTGTACAGAGCCTGCTTCAATTGAGTACGAAGCGGCCGCCCCTTTTTGAAGGCCTTAAAGTTCGGAACCGTTAGTTTTTTCGCGATGATGTGGTACGCCGTAATGTTGTAGATTGTACGGATGTTGCTGCTTTTAACGGGGAGCTTCTTAGCGAGGGCTTCGGCTTTTGTGTTGCTGGGGAGGAGGACGGTGGCGTCCGCGAGGGCAGAGAAGTCGTACTTGGAGTTCAACGCGAGGCCGATGTACTTGCTGATGTCTTTCGCGTATTTCGCGTATTGAGGGTAGCGCTTCGTGATGGTGCTCGCCATTTTATTCAGCTCCGCCTTCAGCTGCGCCTTGGTTGGCTTCGCCTTCGCCTGCGCGTTTGCTCCAGCCACGCAGAGGGCGATGCAGATGAGCCCGAGGAAGAGTACTAGCAGGAGTCTGGATTTAGCCATTTCTATGAGGGGAAAAATCTTCCTTGCGGGCCTAGGTCTTCCTTGCGGGATTCGAAGGCGGAGCAACAGCCAATTGTCGTGAAAAGGTGACGGAATGTCAACAAATAGAGCGAATTCAGATGGAAGAGAAGGCTGGCTGGGCTTTTCTGAAGTTGCTGAACTACAGTATGAACGTCTGGGATGCAGAGATGCTGGCTTGCTGAAGATGGGAGGAGGTTATGATTCATGAAGGTCGTCGAACTTGCTTGAAATGATACTAGTTCACGAGAAATGCCAGGGCTAAATGAGTGTGTGCAATTGAGGTTGAGGGCGTGGCACATGGGTCGCGCTTGCCTCGAAACCCAACCCGGACGCGCAACTGGCGAAAAAACCCCAACTTAACCCAATCAAAATAATATCAACCCATCTTTCACATGCTATGCGAGGCTCAGCGAGCCCGGTAACCAGACTGGGTTGCGCAACTTCGATGAGTTACGCAACCCGTGTACCACGCGCTGAGGGCGGAATGAGTTGCGCAACCCAGGGAAGCGCAACCTGGGTTGCGCTTTTGGCGAAAACAGGCACTTCGACGAAACATCGGGTTCGCAAATTGTCCATGCGAGGGCTAACGAGCTATAAGTAACCAGGGGAATTTGCGTATCTTTCGTGGATTGCGCAACTCATGACCCACGCCTTGGGCGAGAACGCAAGGCCCGGAAGGAAAGCGCATGGCCGTTTCAAGGGTTGCCTAGCGGAAATGCCACAAAGAACCACATGCGGTGCGGCGAATGCAGTTGCGATGTCGCAGCGAAGTGGGGCTGCCACCGCCACTGATCCGTGGCATAGGCTAGGATACTGGGTCGAGTCGCGCAGACCGACAAAACAGCTGCTGCGACAAGATGTTGTGACAAGGATCTGACGAAGGTGGGTTTATTCGCAAATGGGCTTCGCTGGCAGCGTGGCAAATGAAGTCACAAAGGAGAAAGCAATCATAGTTATTAGCGATGCAGATTGATGACAGATGTTACGGGAGCGGGAAAGGAGAAATGTTATGGTAATAATAGCTTTTATCCAGTGGGTTTATTACCTGCTATATTTTGTTCACGTATGACACCTCTGAACAGAGTGTTTAATCCCTTTTTCTGTTCGAAAGGGGCCTCCTATAGTGCGATTGTTTTCACCATAAGAGTATACTGACGCGTGCACACGGTGGATTCGGGGCCATCCGAACTCGCCACGTGTGACCAAATTCGCATCCATGACTTCCTCGAGTCTTGCAATTCCTCGGACCTCACCCAAACGCAATCCCTCGTTACAGCGGCACTCGCGTACTGGTCACTGTAGATAGCTCGTTGTTGTCAAATTGACAGATTTCACTGGCCTCGATTTTGCCATCAATCCATCCTCCATCTCCCCACCAATTGGAGTCTCGAATTCCTTACAGAGCAAGTGGAGGAGAGGCAAGCCAGCTAAGGACCAGCATCAGTTGCACGCAGACTTCCTTTCTGCCTCAATTCTTGCACGAGATCGGCAAGAAACCACGTTTCGCTGAAAGCTCCTCAATTAGCGGGCCTTTCATTGGACGAACGTGCGTGGAACGACCCCATTTGACGATATTTCTCGGATCTGCGACCAGTAGTCGCGCGATGGCTTCGACTAGCCTCCTACAGAGTTCGCTCGAGTCGCAGTGCCTAGTTTTCGCGCGCAGCGCCTTGCAATGCGTCTGCTAAGAGCGCGGTTCGCGCGAGCCTCAGCGCTCTGAGGTTGCCACTTGGCGGTAGGAGATTGGCCACGGAGGCACAGAAGAGGACTGTCGCGAATGCTGGCCGTACGATCGTCGTCGCTTCGACAGAAACTGACAAGAAGTCAGGTGCTCAGCTGCTGCATGCACTCATCATTACCGCATTTCACCACATCATAAGTTTCCGCGTGTCTTTCCTTGTATAATTTCTCAATAAAATGCCGCGCTTGTTCCTCCTCTTCCTATGGTGGTCAGTCACCCTTCGATACCAATCTTGTTTCTCAAGAAGTTTGATGCTGACTTCTTGTTTTCTGCGTTTCGTTGCATGGATTTTCCGGATTTGCTCGTCCTCTTTTCATGCACACTCCAGATGGGAAGGTGCCTGACGTGGCTCCGTCCCAAGAAGGGGATTCGGCCGTTCGTCAGCTGCTGGGAATCCGTGGCGGCAACAAGGAAGAAGTAAGGAGTGCCACTTACAATCTTTCTTAATTGGCATCGGAAAGCGCGTTTCATGTTTTGTTACTTTCCTGCCTGATCGATTTAGGGTGTGTTTTCCCTGCTGATCCGTCTGCAGTCTTGGTGTTTGGGAGTAAAGCTTTTTCTACTCGAGAAGGAAGGTTCTTAATAAGGTACCATTTGTTTCTGCTTGCCAATTTCAGGACATCTGGAAGATTCGTCTTCAGCTGACCAAGCCGGTCACATGGGTGCCTCTCATCTGGGGTGTGCTGTGCGGTGCTGCTGCCTCTGGTGAGTTAAATCCGACTTCAAACGAATGGCAAGGGCATAGAACAAGGAAGGCAGAAGCCGATGGGGTGATTGGTGGGGTAATTTCAATAATCCTTATTGCGAACGGGGTTCTGCGCCAAGTTTCTCTTTGTTTCTATCGCTCACCGTTTGTGCCTGTGTCGGCCACGATTGTGCTACTATCGCGAACGGGGTTCCGTTCGGGGTTAAGAAATTGTTCATTAGTCGCGTAATTGTTCTGCTTAAACTCGAACCTGGCATCATCCCTCTCCTGTCTTTCCAGGAAATTTCGAGTGGACCCTCAAGGACGTGTCTATGGCTGTCGTTTGCATGTTCCTCTCGGGACCCCTCCTCACCGGCTACACTCAGGTGCGTTTCTGCCTCCTCACCGGCTACAATCGGGCGCGTTTCTGCCTCCTCACCGGCTACAATCGGGCGCGTTTCTGCCTCCTCACCGGCTACACTCGGGTGCGTTTCGCTTGTAACTTCGCATTTTTTATGGCCCGAATCCCGAATCAGAAGGCGCAGTCACCAAAAGCAATGCTCTCGAAGGGGGTGGAGGACTGCTGTTGAGTCAGCAATGCTCTTGAAGGGGAAGGTGACTGGGTGGGAGGCCGGTTTGCACGCCTAGGCTCTCCAAGAACAATGTGTGATTCCCGAGCCAGAGGCACTTGGGACTGGTACGACAGGCCGATCGACGCCATCAACGAGCGCAACAGGCCCTTTTTGTGGCGCCTCAAATCGCGTCCCATTCGTCTTACGCCTCAACCATGGGACGTCTCAAATACGTTCCGTCTCCTCGTCCTGTCGTTTCCCCCCCTCCCTCCCCTCGTCAGACCATGAACGACTGGTACGACAGCCATCAACGAGACCAACAGACCCGACGTATGCGCGTCGCATACTCCTCCTCCATTCCTTCCTTCCCACCCTCCCTCCGTCCCGTTCCCCCATTCCCCCCCTCCTCCCCCCCTCCTCCTTCCCACCCCCCCTCGCCTTTCCCGACCACCAGACCATGAACGACTGGTACGACAGGGAGATCGACGCCATCAACGAGCCCAACCGGCCCATCCCGTCTGGTGCCATCTCCGAGTTCGATGTGAGTTGGTGGATGGATTTGTGAGGTTGAGAGTGTGAGGGCTGGGTGTGTGCGAGGCCGGGAGTGAGAGGGTAGGAGTGCGAGGGAGATCGACGCCATCCACGAGCCCAACAGGCCCATCCCGTCTGGCGCTATCTCCGATGTCGATGTGAGTTGGTGGATGGATTTGTGAGGTTTAGAGTGCGAGGGCTGGGTGTGTGAGGCCGGGAGTGAGAGGGTAGGAGTGTGCGGGAGATCGACGCCATCCACGAGCCCATCAGACCCATCCCGTCTGGCGCATTCTCCGATTTCGATGTGAGTTGCGCGCCTGAGGCGGAGGAACCGTGAGGGCCGGTGGGGTTGTGAGGTAGTGCGAGGGTGAGGGCGAGGGTGAGGGCGAGGGTGAGGGCGAGGGTGAGGGTGAGGGTGAGGGTGAGGGCGAGGGTGAGGGCGAGGGTGAGGGTGAGGGTGTGAGTGTGTGTGGGTGAGAGGTCATGAACGGCAGGGAGATCGACGCCATCAATGACCCCAAATGGCCCATCCCATCTGGCGCTAACTCCGAGGGCGATGTGAGTTGGGTGTTTTAGATGCTGTGTGGATGAGTGGCTGTGTGGCTATGAGGCTGTGTGCCTGCCTGAAATGCTGTGAGGCTGTGATGCTGCTATGGGAGAGAATGTGCAAGGGCGTGACCGTGTGTGCTGAGACGCAAATCCGAGAAAGAGGGTATATGCAAGAATTGTCGGCATACTTCAATGTTTTTGACACCTTTGTCTCGAAATAATGGCAACCTCTCTCTACGATTTTGGCCCTGCCTACGTGTTTGAGTGCAGGTTATTGCTCAAATCTGGATTCTGCTGCTCGCTGCCATGGGTGTGGCATATGGCCTCGATGTCTGGGTGAGCCTCGCTTCCTCCCTCCCTCCACGTCATAGGAATCTAGTTTTGAGGCACACGGCCTCGATGTCTGGGTGAGTCTCGCTTTCCCCCTCCACGTCTCGTCTTCCTGCCTTATACCAGCCTGCGTTCTTTTGTTCCAGAAACTATAGAAGCACTGTTTTACCGCTTTAAGAGCATCCTCTTTTGAAGCAGGTTGGAAAGGGAGACCATTGTATAAGGCGGTCGAGTCTATCCATATGTACTGATATGTGTGTCGTCCCGCCTCCTCCTCCTCATTCCTCTCGTTCGTCTTCGGTATTGTCGTCTCCTTCCCGTCCTCCAATCCACATTGTTCAGAAAGGGCCGGAACTTCCTCATCCCGCTCGCCCTTTCCGCCTCTTGATACAATACTACTCAGACCTCCACCTCCCTCCCTCATCCACCCGCTCCCGTCCCACCTTCCCCTTCCCTCCCCCCAACTCCGTATCCCCCATCCCCACCAATCAAGCGGGTCATGACACAAACGTCCTTGCTCTCTCCGGCTTTGCTAACTCTTTGAGTCCATTCTGCCACCCCTCCCTCCCTCCCCCCCCCCCCTCATCCCCCCCTACTCGTCCCCCTTCCCCATCCTTCAGGCGGGTCATGACTTCCCCATCCTCCTCGCTCTCTCCGCCGGTGGCTCGCTTATCTCTTACATCTACTCCGCTCCTCCTCTCAAGGTATACCCCTTCATTTTTTGCCCTTTTCCCGGGATTTGCTCTTTGAAGCTTCTCACTTTTAGCCAGCAAATGGAAAAAGAGGAAAACACACTCACGAAAAATAACAGCCAGAAGGGAAGTAAAGGTTCCATGCAGTAACATGAAGACAGACTGGCGCGTATAATCGCATGGTATTTCACCACTTTCACAAATACCACTTTCCGCTTTCCCTCCCCTCTCACCGCCCTGCAGCTGAAGCAGAGTGGTTGGATCGGCAACTATGCCCTGGGCTCCAGCTACATCTCCCTCCCCTGGTAAGGATCCCTGCCTGGCATGCCCTTTGTCGCTAGTAACAGCATGTCACCTCCAGCAGTAACTATGCCCTGGGCTCCAGCTACATTTCTCTTCCCTGGTTAGCACCCTTCACATGTCGAGGGAAGAGTCCTTCGTCGTGAGTTGTGGGAACGCTCCCTCATGCACACGTTTTCCCCACTGTTGCCACTTGCATCACATGCCGTTCTCCCTCTTTTTGTGTGAGAATGATCTAGTTTTGATACGTCTCAAAACTAGTCTCCATCCTCACGTATTGTGGGAACACTCCCTTGCATATGTTTTCACCATTGGTGGCTCTGCATCACATGTCTTTTGCTCTTTCTGTGTGAGGCCAACCGGCAAGTGGAAATGGCATTTTTTTAAAAAATTACCCTCTAAAACCTTACACGTATCCCTCTGTCTGTGTGGGCACCTGGCAGGTGGGCGGGCCAAGCTCTCTTTGGCACGCTTACTTTCGATGTGGTGGTGCTAACCCTTCTTTACAGCATTGCTGGGGTAAGTAAGCTGTCAGATTCCGAATTTCGTTTGAAGGGGTTATGAAACAAGTACTCTCTGACATTCGATGTGGTGGTGCTCATCCTTCTTTACAGCATCGGTAAGCTGTCCATAGTCACATTTGCAGGGGAAGTTTCCCCCTCTATTGCTCTCCTGTTTTGTTTCCCTCTGCTTTCTCTTCCCACATGGCATTGCCTTCCTCCCGCATTCCTTGTCTTTAGCACCCCTTCAATCCCTAATGGCATTAGGCTAATGCCGGCTGCACCCCTACCATCCCACTCGTCCACTGCTGCACACATGTTCCTTACCTATTCTCCCCTTGGCAGCTGGGCACTGCCATTGTGAATGACTTGAAGAGCATTATTTCTATGTTCCACTCGTGTCCTCTTTCTCATGCGTGTTTGCTCCCTCTCTCCCCCCCTCTCGTATTTTCGTCTAACAGCTGGGCATTGCCATTGTGAATGACTTCAAGAGCATTGAGGGCGACCGCAAGATGGGCCTGCAGGTGGGTGTTTGGGAGTGGTACTCTGGTGGTGCTGGAGCCGTGGGATTGGGAGTGATGATTACGGATGGGTTTTTTTTTTTTTTGAGTTGACAAAAAATTTACGTCAAGAGCATTGAGGGTGATTGCAAGATGGGGCTGCAGGTGGGTGCTGGAGCCGTGGGATTGATGGCAATAGATGGTTGGTGCTTTGGTGTTGAAGTGAACACAGTCCAATGGATATGGGTTGCAAGCATCCCTTTCCTACACACCTCTTGTTCTCGTCAACCCTGCTCGCGATTTTTTGTCTTCTCTGGCCTTATTGACGCACACCAGTCTCTCCCAGTGGCATTCGGCATGGATACCACCAAGTGGATCTGTGTGGCCGGCATTGATGCCAAGTGTCTCCCCGTCTTACTCCAGTCCCTGCCAGTGGCGTTTGGAGTGGATACCGCCAAGTGGATCGTGGATCTGCGTGGCCGGCACTGACGTCACCCAGCTCCATCTCAACTGCTGCCTTGTGTTTTCGCTCCTCGCTATTGCTCTTTTCTACCCCACACACCTTCTTGCTCCAGTCTCTCCCAGTGGCGTTTGGAGTGAACACAGCCAAGTGGACCTGTGTGGCCAGCATTGATGTCATGTCACACAGCACAACTCCATCTCACAGTCTCAATGTTATCCTGTCTTCTCTCGTCCCTCTCGTTTCACCTGTCCCCCACCGTCTACCCACTCAGTCCCTGCCAGTGGCGTTCGGAGTGGATACCGCCAAGTGGATCTGCGTGGCCAGCATTGACGTCACACAGCTGTCTGTGGCAGGTGAGAGGGAGCGGGGTATGGAGGGGGGAGTGGGGCATGGAGGGGGGAGTGGGGCATGGAGGGGGGAGTGGGGCATGGAGGGGGGAGTGGGGCATGGAGGGGGGAGTGGGGCATGGAGGGGGGAGTGGGGCATGGAGGGGGGAGTGGGGCATGGAGGGGGGAGTGGGGCATGGAGGGGGGAGTGGGGCATGGAGGGGGGAGTGGGGCATGGAGGGGGGAGTGGGGCATGGAGGGGGGAGTGGGGCATGGAGGGGGGAGTGGGGCATGGAGGGGGAGTGGGGCATGGAGGGGGGAGTGGGGCATGGAGGGGGGAGTGGGGCATGGAGGGGGAAGTGGGGCATGGAGGGGGGAATGAGCTTGGAAGGGGGAGTGGGTGAGGAGGGTGGAGAAAGGGTGGCTCTCCGACTCTGCTGCATCTGCTTCCCTTGCGTTGTGCATTGTCTTTCCCCAACTCACTTCCTTTCTTCCTATCGCCCTCGCCGCGACCGCCGGGAGGTATGTGCTGCTCGCTCGCCCTCATTGCTCCTTTGTTCGTGGCTTGGCTTGTCTGCGTCTCGCCTTTTCTGAATTGTCTCTTCCCATCTCCGTGCTTCCCCCACTACACCAGTGCGATTTTTTCCTCGCCCTGTGGGGAAAGACCACCTATGGCCTTGTGCTGCTCGCGCTCATTGCGCCGTAGATCCCGACTCGCCCGTTCACCTGCTTCCTCTATTGTCATTTGCCCACCCTTTCCCTCCCTCTCTTTTCCCTGTCAGGCTATCGCCTGCCACTCGCAAGACCACCGACGGCCTTGTGCTGCTCGCGCTCATTGCGCCGTAAATCCCGACTCGCCCGTTCACCTGCTTCCTCTATCGTCGATTTCCCACCCTTTCCCTCCGTTTCGTTTTCATGTCAGGCTATCTCCTCGCCACTGGGAAGACCACCTATGGCCTTGTGCTGCTCGCCCTCATTGCTCCCCAAATCTTCTTCCAGGTCAGCCCTCCTCTCTGCCAAGTCAGCATTTCACCTTTCCAGGTCAGCACTTCGCGTATGGTCCTGTCTCTTTCTCCCGTCTGCATATTGAGTTGATGCAAAAGCAGTCCCATTCATTCTCACGTCCGCCCATCCCGTGCGCATGGTGCCGTATCGCTCAGTAATTCACCCTCTTCCTGCCTGGCCCAATGAAGAATGAATTCCGGATTACCTGACAGTGACCCCTCGTTTTTTTTTGGGAGGGGGGCTTTAAGGAGATCCCAGGAGGGCAATGACCTTATTTCCCTCTCTTCTCCTCCCTTGCGTTTGGTACTGTATTGCTCTGCAGTTCACGCTCTTCTTGCCCGACCCAATGAAGAACGATGTCAAGTACCAGGTAAAGTGCTTAGATCACTCAAAATACAAGGCGTAGCAACTTTCTCATCCCACTAGTGCTGGATAGTGCAGAGTATCGGGTCGTCTTAGAACTCGGCTAGTGGGCAGCCGTTCCTTGTCTCTGGCTAGTGTGCAGCCCCTCTTTCTCCCCCCCTTCCCCTCCCACACGACATAGAGTGCAGGCAATCGTGCATCTGTTCCTCCAAACTGTGGCTTGTGCATCATCAATGTGCCTGCAATGTTTGGCCACAACTGCGAACACGGGCCAATGCCAATGAGGGATTGGTCCAATCCCCTCACTATCTCCCCTTTCCCCCACGCAGATTCCCCTTCCCCTCCCCTCCCCTCCCCTCCATCTCCCCTCTTCCCCCTTCCCGTCCCCTCCCACTTGCTAACACATGCTTACTTGATTCCTTTTCTCCCATCCCCCCTTCCCTCCCCGCTACCTCCTCTTCCCCCATGCAGGCTAGTGCGCAGCCGTTCCTTGTCTTTGGCCTCCTCTGCACCGCTCTAGCAATTGCTTTTGAGTAGACTCAAAAGCTGTTCACACTCCCCCTCCCCCCCCCCCCCCCTTCCCTCCACCTCCCCTTTCCCCCATGCAGGCTAGTGCACAGCCGTTCCTTGTCTTCGGCCTCCTCTGCACCGCTCTAGCGATTGGCAACCAATAAGCGGATGCCGAGTAGACCATAGTAGCATTACATGCACAGAACATGTGGTTTCCCCTTGAACCCTCCTTCCCTTAACCTGTAACCATAGCATGCATGCTCGTGCGCACAAAACCTTCTGTCTACTAGGCCTTCTATGCAGCACACTGGTCGTTGGCAAGGCAAGTGATAAGAACGGGGCACAAGGTGTCAGCCTCAGCCACTAACCACTGAGATAAAATGGCTTGCTAATAGCGGAGTGTGCTCATAGCCCCCAGGCTCTGCATGTGTGGCCCTTCCCTGAAGGTCTTCTCAAGGGTAACCCCAGTGGGTCACTCTACACAAAGATGTATGCTGATCTGTTTGCCCCTGCGATTTTCCATGCAAAAAACATGTTCACTTGAAAACACACCCCTAGTTGGCTATAATACATGTTCCAAAAGTGCTTGGAAATTTATTAGAAAGAAAATTGGGAACTTTCCCAGGTTGCGAGTGGGTGGGGTGAACAAAGAACACAATCCAATGTATTGAGAAAGCTCGCTTTCTTGTTTGTGCAATTGCCACCGTTCTCATTTCATTGACATAAAGTACATAACAGTTCCCAATTATCCATACATCAACCTAGATCACTATGTCAACTTATACATATTATCTATGTAGAAGTTATAGGCTAGACTGAGGTATGCTTCTAGTGAGTACAACCAACTAGTATTTGTTCTAGGTTTCCACCTCTAGTAATCATTCGTTTCTACGTTAACATGGTATCACGCTTAGGTTAGGATCCCCCCGCCTACCGCTTCCGCCCGTCGCGCCTCCTAGGCCCCGTCGCGCCCCCTAGGCCCCGTCGCGCCCCCCCTGGGCCCCGTCGCGCTCGTTAGGCCCCGTCGCGCCCCCCCTGGGCCCCGTCGTGCCCGCTGGGCCCCGTCGCGCCTCCTAGGCCCCGTCGCGCTCCCCCTGGGCCCCGTCGCGCTCACTGGGTCCCGTCGCGACCCCTAGGCCCTAACGCGCCCCCGCTGGGCCCCGTTGCGCCTCCTAGGCCCCGTCGCGCCCCCCATGGGCCCCGTCGAGCCCGCTGAGCCCCGTCGTGCCTCCTAGGCATCGTCGCGCCTCCTAAGCCCCGTCGCGTCCCCCCCCACTGGGCCCCGTCGCGCCCGTTCGGCCCCGTCGCGCCCCTCCTAGGCCCCGTCGCGCCCGCTGGGTCCCTTCGCGCTTCCTAGGCCCCGTCGCGCCTGCTAGGCCCCGTCGCGCCCCCCCTGGGCCTCGTCGCGCCCGTTAGGCCCCGTCGCGGCCCCCCTGGGCCCCATCGTGCCCGCTGGTCCCCGTCGCGCCTCCTCGGCCCCGTCGCGCCCCCCCTGGGCCCCGTCGTGCCCGCTGGGCCCCGTCGCGCCCCTTAGGCCCCGTCGCGCCCGCTGGCCCCTGTCGCGCCTGCTGTTAGCGCTCGCCCGCCTGGCCTCCTCCTAGTGCCGCTCGGCCTCCTCCTAGTGCCGCCCGGGCTCCTCCTAGTGCCGCCCGGCCTCCTCCTAGTGCCGCCCGGCCCCTTCCTAGCGCCGCCCGGCCTCTCCTCAGCGCTGCCCGGCCCCTCCTCGTGCCCGACCGGCCCCAGCAGCACCAGCCTGGCCCCTCCCAGCACCAGCCCGGCCCTAGAGCACCTGCCCGCCTCCCCTGCTCGGCCTGCCGTGTCCTCTCGGGCCCTGTGTCTTCTGCTTGCCTGCGCTGGGACGCCTAGCTGCTGCCCTACTGGAGAGTGCTGCCGCCGTGTCCCCGCGCCGCTGTGCTCCTGTGCCGCTGAGGAGCTGTGCTGCTGTGCCGCTGTGTCGCTGAGGAGCTGTGCCGCTGACCCTGCACGATGGCTGACTTTGTGCTCCGCCTGGACGCTGAGGGCCACGCGGTTGACTTCGCCGCCTGGCTCTCCGATCTTCGCCGCCAGCTTACAGGTCAGCGCCAGGATGGCCACTCTCTGGTTGTCCATGCTGATGGCTTGCTCCCCCGTCCCCCTGCACCTACTCCCCTCCCTGCTGACCCCTCCTCTGATGACCGTGAGGCTTTCTCTACTGCTGCGCTAGCCTGTGCGGTCTGGGACTCACGCGATGCAGTAGCTCAGGTTGCTATTAGTCACGCCCTCCCTGTGTCTGAGCGCTCGCGTTTTGCTACTGTTGAAACGGCCAAAGCTTATTTAGAAGTCGTTATTGCTCGCTATTCCACCCCTGCCTCCGCTTCTGCTGGCCGCTTGCTCTTTCCGATGCTGTTCCCAGACCTGGCTGCCTTCCCTACTGTCGCAGATTTTGCCACTCATTTGCGTGCCCTAGAGACTCGCTATCGCACTGCCAGCACTGCTGCCCAGCTCACTGCGCTCCCCCCTCCTTTCTGCATGACGCTCTATTTTATCGCTATGCGCCTGCCAGACCGCCTCGCTAGTGCTCGCGACCACTTTCTTAGCCAGCACCCGGGTGACCTCACCCTGACCGCCTTTGTCGACACCCTCACTGAGATCGAGACTCGCCAGCGCACTATCGCTCAGTCGAGCGGTGCGCCGGCAGTCTCTATCTTTCACGGTTGTGCCCCATCTCCGTGCACGTTCACTGACGTTTCGGCTGCGGTCGCCACGGCGACCCCTCTTACTGAGACGGCTGCTGCTGTCCACCCGCAGCAGCGCTCGCGTCGCGGTGGCCGTGGCCGCCAGGGAGGTAGGGGTGGTGACGCAGGTGGTAGTGGTCGTGGTGGTGGTGACGGTAGTCCGCCTGAGGGGACTACCACCGGTGGGCAGGAGCAGCAGTCCCAGCAGCAGCAGGACCAGCCCCAGCCGCAGCCGCCGTCCCAGCAGCACCCGCCGCAGCCGTGGGCTCGTCTCCCGCCTGGTTGGCCCGGCACCTCCGGAGGCGGTGGCCGTGGTGGCGGCCCGCGCAGCTTGGCGTCTACCAGCGGCTCCAGTGCTGTGACCTGCCAGTACCAGCTTCAGACCGGGCCTCTCCGCGGCACTCTGTGCCGCCGCCCGCACCCGACCGCCCACTGTTTCCGCCGCCTCGACGATCTTTTTCGTCGTCGCTTTGGCCCGGCCCCGGACCTCCCTGACTGGCACAGCCTGCTCCGCCAGGGCGTGCCGATCTTTGAGTTAGACATGGATCAGATAGGTGCTGCTTTGCATGCTTTGTATGCTGACGCTTCTAGTGTTGATAGATCTTACTACCATGTGTACTCTAGTTTAGGTGTTTCACCCTTGTGTAGCTTAGCTTCCCCTGCTGCGACAGGCGTAGGACTGCCTAGGTTGCCTAGTCTAGTCGCTGCACCGGCTCCGTCCGCGGCCTCCGCCACTGCGTCGCTGTCCTTCACTCTCGACTCTGGTGCTTCTGCCTGCTTCTTCCGCGACCGTTCCACGCTCACGCCGCTTGCTGCACCTGCTGTTGTCTCTCTCGCTGACCCCTCTGCGGGTCCGGTCGTCGCGCGCAGTTCTACGTCCCTTCCCTGTCCGGCAGTTCCCTCGGGCTCCCTTACTGGCCTCCACGTTCCCTCGTTCTCCAGGAACCTGGTTGGTGTCGGCTGTCTCCAGGACCTCGGCGTCACCACCACGTTCCCCGGGCACGAGCGGTTCGCTGTCTGTTCTGAGGCTGTCTCAGGTTCCCCCCTTGCGACGTTCCCCCGGGACCCGGTGTCCGGTCTGTTTACCCTACACACCGCTTCCCCCCCGGTTGGTGCGTCCTCCCAGGTCGCTGCAGCTTGCTCGTGTCGGTCCCTCACTCACCCCTCCCTTCTCTGGCACCACCGCTTAGGTCACCCTGCTCTCCCGCGTCTGCGTCACATGTCCCAGCACGGTCTTGTCTTAGGTCTCCCCGCGTCGCTCCCTGCCCTTCCTCCCTCGACTGCGCCACCGTGCACGCCTTGCGTCGAGGGTCGGCTCCGCCGTGCTCCTCACTCCTCCTCGCTGCGTCCTGCTACTGCCCCCCTTCAGACCCTGCACTTGGACGTTTGGGGCCCTGCCCCCGTCCCCGGACCGCGCGGTGAGCGCTACTTCCTTGTGCTCGTTGACGACTACACGCGCTACACCACGGTGTTTCCCCTGGAGCGGAAGGCCGACGTGCCCGACGTTCTTCTCCCGTGGGTTGTAGCTGCGCGTCTCCACCGCGGTCTCCCCGTGTTGTGTCTCCACTCCGACCGTGGCGGCGAGTTCGCCTCTGGTCGGCTTGGACAGTTCTGTCGTGCGGAGGGCATCACCCAGTCGTACACGTTGCCGGACTCGCCACAGCAGAATGGGGTTGCTGAGCGCCGCATCGGCTTGGTCATGGAGGTCGCCCGTACCTCCATGATCCATGCCGATGCCCCCCATTTTCTGTGGCCGTTCGCTGTTCGCTACGCGGCTCACCAGCTTAACCTGTGGCCACGCTCCCAGCGGCCGCAGGTTTCGCCGACCCTCCTTTGGACCGGGTCCCCCGGTGACGCGTCTGCGTTCCACGTCTGGGGCTGCCTTGCTCACGTTCGTGCCTCTGGCACGGACAAGCTCACTGCCCGCACTGTCCCCTGTGTCTTCCTCGGTTTCCCCCTGGACTCGTCTGACTGGCTTTTCTACCACCCGCCGTCTCACCGCTTCCTCCACTCTCGTGACGTCACCTTTGACGAGTCCGTCTCCTTCTACCGCCGCTTCCCTCACCGAGGTCTCCCAGTTGCCCCCCCCCTTTTCCTTGCTCCCTCTCCCCCGGTAGCCCCTGCCCCTCTCCCGCCTCGTCCTGCCCCGTCTGGTGTCTCCCACGTCACTCCCCTCCCGTCGGTTGTCCCCGTTGAGGAGTCTGCTGACTCTGGTGGTACCCCCGGTCCGTCCTTGCCGCGTCCCCCTTCCCCAGTGCCTCCGCCCCCACTGTCGCAGTCGCCGACCCCGCTGCCGCCGCCGTCGCCGTCGCCGCCGCAGCCGTCGCCGCTGTCGCCGCCACTGCCGCCGCTGCTCTCGGCCCCTGGGGGTGCTGGTGTGGAGGAGGGTGTTCGTCCTGCGGCTTCTGGGGGTGCCGCTGGTGTTGGAGGGGGTTCTCGCTCTTGGGGTGTTGGTTCTGGGGGTGCTGCTGTTGAGTGTTCTGCCGACGGTCGTTCTGCCTCTGCTGGTCCGAGAGTTCCGGCCCAGCCGTCGTCGCCGCCACAGCAGCCGTCGCCGCCGGTTTCCGCTCTCCGCCTGCTCGGCCTTCCCTCCCCGGACCGCGCGCCGGTGTCTCCCCCACCGCCTCCTGACCTCCCTGTCTACGGTCCTGTGTTCCCGCCGCCAGACTCGTCTCCGGCCCGTCTTCCTCCTCGTTCCCCTCCTGTGTCTCCTCCGCTGTCCCCTGACCCTACCCCTCCGTCTCACGTTTGGGCTCGCCGTCCCTCCCGTGCTCGTCCCGTCTCTCCTGTCCTGCCCACCCACCCTATGTTGC